ACAGCCTTAGTGGAATAGCTGTCTTCAATCTTGCGTGCATAAAGACTTGAGGGATATTCTCAAACAGTCCAGTGGCGTGTGGAGGGAGACGTACATGGTGAAAAGACAATTTGTGGGATACGGTGATGTTAAGGTTTAAGAAATGAGTTAACAGATTCAAAACACTAAGTAATTAAAATATTCCCGCCTCTTCCCCACCCAGGCTTATCAAATATAACTCAGGTCTCTGGGTTCAGACCTTCCCAGCCAGGTCCTAGCCTCCTGTTCCACTTCTCATTTGCCCTGGCCTGTCCTCCACCCAACACTCCATGCTCCCCTCAGGGAACAACAGGCCTTTATTCTCCACTCCAGATCTCTGCACCTGTCCTCCCCCTAGCCTGGAAGGCCTCTCCTATTATCCACTGGTCTTTTCATACACTCCAGCATCCAGCTATGCACTTGCTAGCTCGTGATTGGTTGGTCCCTCTGCTACATAAATACCACTGCACTAACCCCTACTTCTGGCTGGGGTCATGTTTTGCTCACTGTCCTTCCCTAGGGTGTTCAGCATCATGTCTTGTACTTAGTAGGCTCCCCATAAATTATGCTATTTTTTTTACAACACATTTCAGATGTGTTTAAAAAATTTTCTGTTACAAAGATTTAATACAGGGTGGCTGTGGTGGCACACGAATGTAATCCCAGTGCTTTGGGAGGCTGAGGTAGGAGGATCACTTGAGCCCAGACCACCATGAGCAACATAGTGAGATAGTGAGATCCTGTCTCTATAAAAAAAACAATTTTATATATATATATATGAGCTGGGTATGGTGGAGTGCTCCTGTAGTCCTAGCTACTCAGGAGGCTGAGGTGGAGGATCACTTGAGCCCAGGAGTTTGAGGCTGCAGTGAGCTATGATCATACCACTGTACTCCAGCCTCAGCAACAGAATGAGACTGTCTCAAAAACCAAAAATCCAACATGCATCCCTTATCAGTACCACTGTGGTAGCCTAGGGGAGTCACTCAACTGCTACCATATTACTGATGGCTTCACATAACCCAGCTATTTTAGCCTCTTTTCTCAAGGTTTAGCATGAGCCAAGGATATACAAGGCCATCTAGGGCTCTTTATGTTTTGTTACAGAGAATTTTAAACATGTATGAAAATAGATGGCTGGGTGCGGTGGCTCACACCTGTAATCCTAGCACTCTGGAAGACCAAGGCAGGTAGATTACTTGAGCTCATGAGTTCGAGATCAGCCTGGGCAACATGGTAAAACCCCATCTCTACAAAAAAATTAAAAAACTAGCTGGGCATGGTGGTGCACGCCTGTAAGTTCCAGATAATCAGGAGGCTGAGGTGAGAGGCTGGCTTGAGCATGGGAGGCAGAGGTGCAGTGAACTGAGATCGTGTCACTGCACTCTAGCCTGGGCAACAGAGCCAGATCTTAGAAACAAAAAAGAAAGAAGAAGAAAATGAGTACAACTCCATGTACCCATTCCCAGTTTTTCAGTAATTTTCAGCTCATGGTCAATCTTGTAAATAACTATTTTTTGAAAAATTGTGTAATATGACTCCAATCTAGAATCCGCCAAAAATAGGCCTTGAAGATCCCCAAGAGAAGTTACTGGACTCTGGGGTGCAAGTGGTATCAAAATAAACCTGTGTTGGGCTGGTCTGTAAAGATAAGGTACCCAGCACAAGCACTGCCTGGGAGTTACAAAAATCAAAATATATCTGATTGATTGGAGCCAAGAGTCAAGGGGTCCAAAATCTAACTATGAAAAAGAGACCACTAGGCCGGGAGCGGTGGCTCATGCATGTAATCCCAGCACTTTGGGATGCTAACATGGCGAAACCCCATCTATTCTAAAAATACAACAATTACCTGGGCGTGGTGGCATGCACATATAGTCCCAGCTACTCAGGAGAATGAGGCAGGAGAATTGCTTGAACCCAAGAGGCGGAGGTTGTAGTGAGATGAGATCATGCCACTGTACTCCAGCCTGGGTGACAGAGCAAGATTGTCTCAACAAAACCCCACAAACTAAAAAAAAAAAAAAAAAATGGAAGGGGGGGGGTCCCAGCTGAGCCACTGGGTGAGCTCCGCCCAGCCCCAACAAAAAAAAACAACAACAAAAGGGTAAAAGACTCAGGTAGAATTACAAGGAAGGCTTGAGTCCATGGTTCTGAATCATCATCCGTCAGTCTTGTCTATGTCCTCAGCTAAGACGGTAACCCTAGTGCTCCAGAGTAAATGATAACCGTGCCCTCAGGTGAAAATAAAAATGAAAGCCTGGGCATGGTGGCTTACACTTGTAATCCCAGCACTTTGGGAGGCCGGGGCTGTTGGATCACCCGAGGCAGGAAGAAATGCAAAAATTAATCTGAGTCATGACACCAGAAATGTAATAAACAAATAAAAATAAATTAATTTAAAAATTAGCTGGGCATGGTGGCGGACGCCTGTAATACCAACTACTCAGGAAGCTGAGGCAGGAGAATAGCTTAATTTGGGAGGCAGAGGTTGCAGTGAGCCAAGATTGTGACACTGCACTCCTGGGTGACAAAGAAAGACTCTGTCTCAAAAAAAGAAAAGAAAAGAAAAGAAAAAAACTAATAAAAATAAATAAACAAATAAAAATTTAAGTAGAGCTAGCAAGGCCAGGCACAGTGGCTCATGCCTATAATCCCAGCACTTTGGGAGGCTGAGGCCAGTGGATCACTTGAAGTCAGGAGTTCAAGACCAGCTTGCCCAACATGGTAAGACCCTGTCTCTACTAAAAATACAAAAATTAGCCAGGTGTGGTGGCACATGTCTGTAATCACAGCTGCTTGGGAGGATGAGGCAGGAGAATTACCTGAACATGGGAGATGGAGGGTGCAGTGAGCCAAGATTGTGCTAATGCACTCCAGCCTGGGTGACAGAGTGAGACTCCATCTCAAAAAAGAAAAAAAAAGTAGAGCTAGTGAAATGTTTATAATCAGGTTTAGTTAGTGTCACATGTGCAGATCAGTAATGTATTTATAATAATACTAGGTTGGGCGTGGTGGCTCATGCCTGTAATCCAAGCACTTTGGAGGCCAAGGCAGGTGGATCACCTGAGGTCGGGAGTTCAAGACCAGCCTGACCAACATGGTGAAACCCCGTCTTTGAAAAAAAAAAAAAAGTTAATATAATAATACTACATCTGGTCTACTTTTTAGGGTGTAAAAGCATTTAATTTCATTTTATTTTTCCCTTTAATTTTTCATTTTTTAGTTGTGAAAGCAGTTTGTATATATTTGGAAGAATGTTTCCTATTTGTTGAATAAACCATTCATTTAATAAATGTAGTAGACTATTAGATTGAGCACTAAATAATGCTCAAAGGATCATATGGTTTTTTCCTCCACACTAAGCCCATAGACATGAAGAATATCTGGTAGCTTCCAGGATGTGAGAAAGGAATGTGCCTTTTCCCACTCCTGGCCTTTGAGTTCTGTCCTGAGCATGGGATGCTGGGGGTGGGCCTGCCTTGGCCATCTGGCTATCTGCATGGCAGTGGCGGAGGATAGCTGAGGGAAGCAACTAGAGAACCCTGGACCTGCCACCTTGCTCTGTGAGAAGCCCCTTCCAATGGAGATTTTAATTACATGCAACTTTTTGGTCTCCCTCTCCACCCTACCCCAATTTGTTCCCACCCCAATCTGTTCCTTAGCTCTCAACCCTGGCTGCACACTGCAATCTCCACTGATGCTCCCTGACTGCACCCTCAGATATTCTGATTTAACTGGTCCTGGGTGCAACCTGGCTGGCATGGGACTACTAAAAACTCCCCAGGTGAATCCACCATGAGCAACCAGGCTGAGAACCAATGATCTAACTGTAAGTCATCTCTTTTCCCTTTGTAACTTTGTTTCTACCTGATACTGTGGCTAGCTACATCTGTTTCTTCCTTCTCCTACTAGAATGTAGGCTCCAGATGGCCTTCCAAACAATGTAAGTGGCCCTTCACACTCCAGGTGACAAGTACCCGTTGCTGATGAAAGTAGCAGAGTCACACCTTTCTTGGAATTTAGGTTCTACAGTCAACGCTTATGGCACCCAATGAGTCAAAAACACCCTTGGCAACTCCAAAGGAAGGCTCTGCCCTGGAACCTGAAGTACTGTTTCCCCATCACCATCCCGGGAGAGATTCCTCCTGGGCCGGAACAGAAAGCTGCCTCCCCTACCAGGCATCAGAGGAAGTGGGAGGCTTATGTTTAGGGGCCACCTTGCATAAATACACATTTAAACATGTGCTTCACCCTCAGCACAGCAGGATGCTCACGCCATGAACAGCCCACAGGAACCACAGTGACCGACCCTCCAGGAGGTACACACCTCCCTCCCATCCCACCCACTCCTGAACATATGGTTCTCACATCTACCAGTGGGTGGAATCACCCACACCATTTAAACTTTTTATTTTGTCAAGATGTAGAGCAGAATTCATGTGATTTACCATATGAGCAATGTCCCTCCGCTGCACAATTATAGCCAGCTGAAGCAGGTCCTCTCCTTCCTTCTACCTGCCCAGCAAACGGCTCTCTCCTTCACTGACCCACCACCCTCCCTTTTAAAGGCTGATGTTCCCTAGGACTCTATCCTTGGTGATTCTCATTAACTCTTCTCTCCAGTGGCTCTTAGCCCTACTAAGGGCTCCTTATCTGTAAAACAAAAAAACACCCATGAGACCTCCCCTCCCCAGTTAACAGAGATGTGGCCCAAGAGGTTCCCACTTCTACTTTGAGTGGGGGCAGAAGAAGAGAAAGACCTTATCTAGGCCTTGGGGGCAGAGCTTGCAGGGGACAAAGGAACACAGTGAATGTACAATAGGTTATTTTCTTGAAAGAATGGATTCATAATAAGAATGGGACTTCCACTAGCTTCCAAAGGACCCTCCCCACCTCTCAGATATATTCTGAGGCCTAAATTTCACCTGCTCATCTAGGATCCCAGGCCAGGCTTTCTGCCACACCAAGCCACACCAAGCTCAGCAGTACTCACAGGCCTTTAATCTATAACTGCCTGGCCACACTCCATCACTTCCCCAGGATGGTGGGGAGGGATGAAGACGTATAGCCAGGTAGGCCGCACCAACTCTAAGTCCAAGAGGGAAGGACTGGGATCAGGCTGGGGCCTGGGCAGAGGGCTCCCGGCCCCAGGCGATGAGGGAGTTGCTGGCTTGGGCAAGCTCGGCGATGGACACCCGGCCCCGCTGTCGGATGAAGTTGGCCACGGCGGCCAGTTCCTCTGGGGTTATGTAGATGAACTTGCCCCGGTCGTCAATCACACCTGTGGGGACATGTGGGTTGTGGGGCTGAGCCCTCCTGGACCCTCCCCACCTGGCCTGAGCATGCCCACCTACTCCTTCACAGCTGGCTTAGAGCCCTTCAGGTCTCCTGCCTACCTAGCCTTTCTTGGCTGCATCCACTCCTGCTAGGAGAATCAAATCAGCCTGCCCTGCCTCCATCACTAGGCCATGGCACGTCCTCCCTGTAACTGCATCCAGCTTCTCAGTGCCCCTCATTGCATACCCCTCCCCCTATCTGGGGTGGTCATCCTGCCTCTGCTGCACATCCCTGCAGCCCCTGTAGCTAGACACTCTCCAAGGCCAGGCCTGCAGCGAGTGATTCTCATCCTCTCACCCTCTCACCTGTTATAGTCCCCTCCGCCAGCAGGTCCTGGATGCGATTTATGGTGTCCTATGAGAAGAACAATTCTCAGAGTAGAGATAGGCACCAATGTCCCCATAAAAATCACTGAAACCTCCCTCCCACTACAGCCAAATCTCATTCTTTCCCTCTCATGCCAGCCCCCAATTGTGACTCTGTGCTTTGCCTTTGAAAGGGACCTGGGTAGAAGGGGTTCTGGTCCTGGGTTTTGAAAGACCCCCAAAAGAGGATCTTTTCTTTAGGAGGGAGGCAGTGGCAATGTTTGGCAACATAGGCTGGTGCAATCTGTTCAGGAGAGTTGTCAAGGTAACTGATTTGGGCTGCTTTGCTCACAGGGGCTGGCAGAGTGATGGGATTTGGATTTTTTTTCTTTCCTGCCTGTTCTTCCAACCATTAAAAACACAGGATTCCTAGGGTGCCAGGAGACTTCTGTGCACTATTCACTCTTGGTTGGGGACAGGGTAGAGGATGCATCAAGACTCTGTCTTTAGGGCAGGTCCTCTCTGCTAGCCACACATATCCCTGGCCACACTGCACACAGCAGGCCACATTCCAGGGCTTACCTGAGTGCGTAGGCCCACCTGGGAAGCCAGGTCTTCCAGGAGCACAACCTTGGACTGCTACAAGGAGGAGGAGGAAAAGAGAGAGAGGCTGAACTTGGGCAAATCCCTCTAAGCATAAGCACCCTCCAGGTTTGCATTCTGATCTGATCCGTTCTGTACACACTCCTGTGGGACAGTCTTGCTCTCCTGAAACACATACACATACACATACACACACACACACACACACACATACTCACAAGCACCCATTGACAGAGACACGCACAACCGTAAACCCTCTCATTCCTTCTTTTGAGTAGGAAATCTACCCAAAACCACTACCTGCCTCATGGGACCTGTACTGGACTCCAAGACACGCATGAGTGGAAATCAGAGCACAGCTGCCACCATCCTCTGCATCTAGCCATCTCTTTTTAACATCATGGACAAGTTGAAGGGGACGCACCATGGAGAGGAAGGAGGCGGTGATAGTCACCAAAAGCTATTTTAAATAACTGTCACCAGGACTTATGTTTGCTGAGGACCTGCTAGAACAAGGCCCTGAGATGGTAGGAAGGACACATGCTGAACAAGCTATAGCCCCCACCCTGGAGCTCATAGTCGGCTGGTGAGACAGGTGAGTACATGGATAAGAGGGAGAGCAGATAAAAACCCAAGCAAGCCAAGGTCTCTCAGTAGAGGCTGCGGGGGCCCACCCCTTCCTTGCCTTTGCTTGCTGCCCCACAGGCCTTGTCCCCCACAACCTGACACACCCATACTCTATCAATCCTCTTCATACCATGTGAGGCACTGAGCTCACCCTTAAAATCACTGTCACTAGGCTGGGTATGGTGGCTCATGCCTGTAATCCCAGCACTTTGGGAGGGCGAGGCAGGCAGATCACGAGGTCAGGAGATCAAGACATCTGGGCTAACATAGTGAAACCCTGTCTCTACTAAAAATAGAAAAAATTAGCTGGGCATGGTGGCATGCATCTGTAATCCCAGCTACTCGGGAGGCTGAGGCAGGAGAATCACTTGAACCTGGGAGGCAGAGGTTGCAGTGAGCCAAGAGTGTGCCACTGTACTCCAGCCTGGGGACAGAGCGAGAATCCGTTTTAAAAAGAAAAGATAAAAAAAATCAGTGTCACTAACAGTGCTGAATGCTTTCCTACACAGCCATGTTCCATGCTCCATGTGCTTCCTCATACCTCAGTAGAAACCTGAGTTCCCAAGGGTGCAGCGAAGGGTCCACTGCTGTGTCCACACAGGCACCGACCCCTACTGAGTCAACAGACAGCACAGGACTTGAGAAAAGGCAGTCCTTTTGCATCTCTGTGAATCCTCCATTGCAAATAAGCTGGGGGAGGACTGACATAGTGACCCCTCCCTGACTGCAGATAGCATGTGACCTGTTTGAAATACCAAACCGTATGTGCAAGCAGGAAGGCAAGCGAGAGGCAGCTGGGCCAGGATGGGCAAGGACAACGTGACCTGGTCAGCTGGCCTCTACCTACAAAACAGGGATCAGGCACTGGACTTTCAGTGAGTGTGGTGCAGAAACATGAAGTCACCCCAGGTGGTCCCCAAAGACCTGGCCTGAGGTGCTGCTGGGGCTAAAGCACATTTGATAAAACAAGCTGGGTGTGATGGTGGACACCTGTAGTCTCAGCTACTCGGGAGGCTGAGGTGGGAAAATGGCCTGAGCCCAGCCACGGTCAGACAGAAGAATGGAACAAGATCGAGTGAACCCTACACTTCTCTTAAATGATGCTGGGTGCAGGCATGCTCCTCCAGAACTGAAATCTTTTTTTTTTTTTTTTTGAGACAGAGTTTCGCTCTTGTGACCTAGGCTGGAGTGCAATGGCGCGATCTTGGCTCACTGCAACCTCCGCCTCCTGGGTTCAAGCAATTCTCCTGCCTCAGCCTCCCAAGTAGCTGAAACTACAGGCGCGCACCACCATGCCCAGATAATTTTTGTATTTTTAGTAGAGACGGGGTTTCACCATGTTGACCAGGATGGTCTCCATCTCTTAACCTTGTGATCCACCCGCCTCGGCCTCCCAAAGTGCTGGGATTATAGGCCGCGCCCGGCCCCAGTTCTGAAATCTTAAGACAAAAGGGCCTATCACCTTGGAGCAAGGAGGAAAGCAGACAGATTGAATTTCAGAAGCCTTCCTTTTCCCTGCAAGATAGCAGCTCTAGAAAAATCAGCCAGCACAGCCTGGAAAAACTTTTTTGAGATAGAGTCTCACTCTGTCACCTCGGCTGGAGTGCAGTGGCACCATCTTGCCTCACTGCAACCTCCATCTCCTGGGTTCAAGTGATTCTCCTGCCTCACCCTCCTGAGTAGCTGGGACTTCGGGCATGTAGCACCATGCCCAGCTAATTTTTGTATTTTTAGTAGAGATGGGGTTTCAACATGTTGCCTAGGCTGGTCTCAAACTCCTGACCTCAAGTGATCCGCCCACCTCAGCCTCCCAAAGTGCTGGGATTACAGGCATCAGCCACCACGCCCAGACAAGCTGGGAAAACTTCTAAGCTCCACAAAAGTTTGGAGAACTCCCCTAGAATGGCACCTTCAGGGAGCCACCGAAAGTGAGGGCTAGAACTGGGGACCTTTCTTCTGGTTTCTGCAGAGTAAAGGGGGGTGCTGAAGCTGACCCCCTCCTCTAATTCCGCCTGGGAAGGCATCCTGGGAAGGGACTTCAGGACCATCTTGATGCCTACTGGGTAGATGGAGACAAGTTCCAAACAGCAGCAGGCAAGTGTGAGAGCTATCCTGCCCGGCTGCAGCCCCCTAATCAAGTGTGCTCAGTTGGAGAAAGGGCTCCATGAGAGGGGAATGCATACAGCCTGAGCAGACAGGACCCTCTGGAAGCTGCCAGCATTTCCCCTGCTTAGGAACCCCAGACTCAAGTAAGCCCAGCCCCTCACTGCTGGCAGGCATCTAAACCCTGCTCTCTTTCAGGAGAGGTGGCGGGAGGATTATACAAGCCCTGGCTCCTTGGCAGCCCCTAGTAGCACCCCCACCACCACCCCCGCTCCCTCTGCACTCCTTCCCTTAGCCGCCTCTGCAACTCTGAGTTGCACTTGAAAACCTCTCCCCTGACTACATCCTTCGTGGGAGAGAAGTTGCTTAGCAGCAAAGCAAAGTAGGATGTGCTTATGCAACCTGGCGCGGCATCGAGGTGGCCTGCATGGTGGCTGCAGACAGAAGGGGACGTACTGCCGCCCCATCCTAGACTCAAAGGAAACACAGTGTTTTCCCTGAAAGACCCAAGTTCCCAGTCAGGAGCACATGGCAGAGGACGCTTATTTCAACTCAGTGGAGCCTCAATGTGACAGAACTGACAGAAAACACATGTGAAGAGACTTGAAAACACACTGACTCACTGAGCGTGGGGTCTGAAGAGCAGGGAAACTGTCAAACTGAGTGTGAGGAAGTGATCAAAGGCTCGTGCATCCCACACAGACCCAGGTCCTTTCTCCACCTTTGGGGATGGAGCGGGAGAAACGCTCCTGGCCAGGACCCCACAGCTCTGCCCCTCTGGGCCCCCCTGCCCACTCCTGCATGAGCCCAAGTGCACCACCTGCAGCACCCAACATGCACACACCAGGCAGGGAGCTGACACTCAGGCTCTGTCTAGTGGCATCTTACCTTGATGTAGTTGATGAACTCTGTCAGGAAGTTCTGGGACTAGAGAAGCAGAGAAATCAGCGTAAGCACCCCTTAGCAGGGCCACAGAGTTCTGTACCCATCCACCCAAGTACCACCTACTCACTTGAGGGCCACCTGCCTGCAGCCTGCCTTGGGCCTGCCCAACCACCTGCGTGTACGGCTTGCCTACACAAGCAGCAGAGCCTTCCAGGGTCAGGGTTTCGGAGGCACCAGCCTCTGCTGAGGACAAAGCCTCTGGCCACCAAAGTCTGTTGGTACTGATGCCCACCCACCTCTCACTGCCTGGCCAGAGGCGTCTGGGATGGGGTGGCTGGTCTTGCGTCTGGCACAGGCGGCACTGGGTGCAAAGAGGGGCTTCCCAGGGGCAGCAGGCCCACCTGTTCCTCAGTCATTGTCTCTCCCACGCCCTCCTCCTCCACCACAAAGGCCTCCTTCAGTTTCAGGTACTCCTCATGCTCCCGCTGGGCCTGCTCTTCACGGGCCTTCCTCTCCTCCTCTTCCTGTGGACACAGAAGGCAAAAGTCAGCTATTGGTAGTAGGAGCCCCATCCCTGTTCTGGTTGCTGCTACCCCTGAAGGACACCAGGGCATACAGTCCAGCCTTTACTTGGAGACAGAGCTCTTTTAAAACCCATGTTCCTCCATCCCCCAAGATGAACAATGGGCTGAGGCCCCTCTTGTCACCAGTGTCACCATCACCTGGATTCAGCCCCTTCTCCTGCCCTCCGTGCTCAGAAGATCTTAGCAAAAATCTATTGAAAACCCGGCCATGACCCCACCCTACAATACCCTCCAATCACCCGCCCCACCCTCTCCCTATGTAACTCGCCGAGCATACCCCGTCATGTCCAAACTTCATGAGCAAATGTGAATCCTGCATTTCTTCACCACCCACTCACCCAGTCAGCCCACTCAAGTCTGGCTTCTGTGTTGCCAGTTCTATGAAACAACTCCTGCCACAGTCTCACCCATGCCCCCACTCACCAAACTCAAGGGACAACCTTCAGGTCTCATATGCCTGTCCTCTCAGTGGATACTTCTTTCCTCCCTTGGCTTCCAGATCCCACCCTCTCCTGGATTTCCTCCTGCTCCTCAGGCCATTCTTCCCACCTCCTTCATCATTCAGCCCTGCCTCTTCTCTCTCCTCCACATTCTCTGGGCCACCTCATCCATGCCCAAAGCATCAACCCCTTCCTTGCCAGTGACTACCACACTTGTTTCCCCACCCAAATCTCTTCTCCCAAACACACAATGGCCCATGTGACACATCTACTGGCCCATCCCATCTCAGCCACCAGACAGACCCTGGGACCTACTCTTATACATCTGGACCTCCTCCTGGGTCCCTGGCTCCGTGAATCAACACAGCCAACTGATCAGAAATGAGGTCCTATTGACCACTTCTTTCTCTAACTTCCAGAAAACTCCCCAGTCTGTCTGTGTTGCTCCATCACTACCACCCGGTACAACTCCCTCAACCTCAACCCAACACATTTTCCAGAGCACTCAGAAATATCTTCTTAAAACGGGAAGCTAAAGCTGGGGCAAGTAATATGCAAGATGAGTCTGGGGCATCTTGCAATGCCAGAAACTAAGTGCTCAAAAAACAAAACAAGTACGTGTTAAAGGTACATTGGAGCCAACCGAAAAGGCTCCCAATGGTCAAAGCTGGAACAATCTGAACAGCCTAATAAATAACATGTCACTGGATTACAACACAAAGTATAAAATAAATACTCATGAGTCTATACAGATATAAAAAATGACTGGCTGGGCACAGTGGTTCACACCTGTAATCCTAACACTTTGGGAGGCTGAGGCAGGTGGATCACTTGAGGTCAGGAGCTTGAGACCATCCTGGCCCACACGATGAAACCCCATCTCTAATAAAGATACAAAGATTAGCTGGATGTGGTAGTAGATGCTCATAATCCCAGCTACTTGGGAAGTTGAGCAGGATGATCGCTTGAACCTGGGAGGCAGAGGTTGAGTGAGCCCAGATTGTGCCACTGCACTTCAGCCTGGACGACAGAGTGAGACTCTTGCCTCAAAAAAAAAAAAAAAGACTGCATAAATATTTAATGAATAAGGAAGGAGAGACATATCTCCCATAAAAGATTTCCAAATAATTTATGTAAGAACTCTAACTCCCCAACCCTTAAGTGTGGGCTGTGCAGAGTGACTTCTTTCCAAAGAAACATGGGAGTGCGGGAAAGAAGCAGTCGCACTACAGTGGAGAAAGCTGGCAGAAAACCGCAGCCAGGCGACCAAGGTTAACAACATTAGGGATAAGTGAAGCAGGTAACTTGCATGTTTAGCATGTTGTGTTGAAGATGGAACTTCACTTATGGTCTTCTTCACTCAAATCCATAACCCCAGGCTGATCATGAGAAAAACATCAACCGAACTCAAATTAAGGGACCTTCTACAAACTACTTGCCCAGCACTCCTCAAAATTGTTAGGGCTGGGCATGGTGGCTCACACATGTAATCCCAGCAATTTGGGAGGCTGAGGCAGGCAGATCACGAGGTCAGGAGATTGATAAAATCTGAATAATGGGGCCAGTTGTGGTGGCTCCCATCTGTAATTCCAGCATTCTGGGAGGCCGAGAGAAGAGGACTGCTTGAGTCTAGGAGTTCAAAAGCAGCCCGGGCAACATCTTAAAACCCAATCTCTACAAAAAAAAAAAAAAAAACCACAAAAATTAGCCAGGCACGGTGGTACCTATAGTCCCAGCTATTCAGAGGGAGGGAGAACTGAGGTGGGAGGATTGCTTGAGCCTGAGAGGCAGAAGTTGCAGACAGCCAAGATCATGACGCTGCACTCCAGCCTGGGCAACAGAGCAAGACGCTGTCTCAATCAATCAATCAATCAAAATGTGAATAACGTTAAGAGTTTAGTTAATAATGTGTCAATATTAATTGTGAGGAATGTACCAAAGTGAGGTAAGATAAGGGAAACTGGGTACAGGGGAGAAGAGCAGGATATTTAAGGTACATTAGGTGGGACCAATATTCAGAAAGGTAAAAAATCCTCTCTGCTAATGCCTCCCCCATGCTGTATTCTGGCTCATCAGCCACAGCACCCATATTAAGGTTTTTCTGCCATCCAGGATCCTGGGACAACAGGCCAGTCAGAGGTCACAGGACTTCCCAGCAGCCTTGGCTCTAACCCTATGCACCCACATCTCTATGCTGTTCCCTTTTTTAGAAACCTGGTTCTCAGAACAAAGGAAGCAAACAAATGTTCATTAGCCACCTTTACTGTAGTAGACCCCATTCCCTGAGCACCTCCTCTTTGCCAGGCCCTCATGCATCCACCATCTCTTTTTCTCTTTTTTTTCTGAGACAAAATCTCACTCTGTCACCCAGGCTGCAGTGCAGTGGCACGATCTCAGCTCACTGCAACCTCCGCCTCCGGGTTCAAGCAATTATCCTGCCTCGGCCTCCTGAGTAGCTAGGATTACAGGCGTGCACCACCATGCCCAGCTAATTTTTTTGTATTTTTAGTAGAGATGGGGTTTCACCATGTTGGCCAGTCTGGTGTCTAATTCCTGACCTCGTGATCTGCCCACCTCAGGCTCCCAAAGTACTGGGATTACAGGCATGAGCCACCGCGCCCGGCCCATCCACCATCTCTTACAATGACCTTTAACATCTTTTAGGCCTTCAGGATCCAGACCCCCCATTACCTCTCTACCATCTTCTCCTCCTCTCCTGGCTTTATCTACCAGCCACCCTGCTCACCTCGTGTTCCTCTCATGCTCCTCCCAAGTTCAATAGTCATGTGCACAAGAATCCCCAATCCAGGCTCTGCTTTTCAGCAGCAGCTTTCCCAGGCCATGCTGGAGCCTGGGGACCAAATAAATCAGGACCTGACCTTGTACCAGGTCTACGACCCACTTTTTAAGTTGGAGGTGCCAAGGAGGTGCATAGGAAGCAAGGTTGCCTGGTCAAGGGTCAGAAGTCAGGGTTGGGGCTGGCCTCACCTTCTGCTCCTCCTCTAGGCGAAGCCGCTCTTCCTCCTTCTTCCACTCAGCTTCGCGTTGGGACTCCAGGCGTTTCCGCTCCTCACGTTCAGCCTCCTCTGCCTGGAGAGAGGCCTTCATAGAGGCACATCCCTCACTGCCAGCTAGAGTGTGCCCACCTCCCAGACAGACTAGGGAACGCAATGCCTGGGCCAGGGCACAGACCAAGGCAGCAGGAGACAGAGCCTCGCCCATGCTGTATTCTGGCTCATCAGCCACAGCAAGCAGCAAACACCAGCCTAGCAGGCAAGGATCCCTGAGTCTGCCTTAGGGAAAAGGAAGGTGGTGTCCTTTCCCACTTCCCAGAGCTGTACCCCATCCCTCCAGCTTGCCTCACGCTGGGCCTTTCGTGCTTGTTTCTCCTCCAGCTTCCGCAGTTTCTTAGCTCCAATTTTCCCTGACAGGTGAGTTTCTGCTGGCTTCTCGATGCCTTCTTCCTCCTGGGCTGGGTATGGTCAAAGGATGACAGTTCAGGTTCTGACCAGAGAGGACTTATGATGACAGATCCCCCACCCCTCATCCCTCTCCTAATAGGGAGGTCCCTTCCATCTACCTGCAAATGTCACTGGCCCAGCTCTGCCCTCCAGAGGCATCTGCCATGAATGCATGTGTGTGTGTGTGTGTGTGTGTGTGTGTGCATGAATATGCAGGAATGGGAGAATAGTGAGGGGCCCATGGGGCAAGGGAACAGATGAGAACTTTAGATACTACTGCACAGCCATAATGAGGGAGGTATCAGGTTAAAATAAGCAAGTGTTGGCTGGGTGTGGTGGCTCACGCCTGTAATCCCAGCACTTTGGGAGGCTGAGGTGGGCGGATCACCCGAGGTCAGGAGTTCAAGATCAGCCTGGCCATCATGGTGAAACCCCATCTTTATTTAAAAAAAAAAAGAAAAGTGTTTCACAGTCACAGATAGGGCTTCCTGGGCTTTGGAGTTCTCTGGCTTCTGTCTCTGTGCCAAACCCCTAGAGAAGGGAAGTGTTTCACAGTCACAGATAGGGCTTCCTGGGCTTTGGAGTTCTCTGGCTTCTGTCTCTGTGCCAAACCCCTAGAAAAGGGAAGTCCCATGGGGAAATTCATCCTGCCTCAAATCTGTCTTCCTCCTTACTACAGTCAGGAGTTGCTGAGGATTCTGGGCTTAGTCCCTGGTCAGGATTATCCCTTTGCCCACCAAAGCCTGGCTGAAAAGACAGTACCAACACCATGACTACCTCAGGGCCAGCTGCAAGTTCAAGACCCACTGATGCCTGTGTATCTGAACCCAAGTCTGTGCCAGAAGGTATGGCAAAGAAAGGGCCTCTTTGTGACCTAAAGGGGATAATCCCCAAGGGTACAAGGCAAAAACCTCAAATGCCCTCAGTTTCTGAGAAAGGCCCAGATACCCCTCCTCAGGCTCAAGTCAGCCATCAAGTACTGGAGAAGCCAATCCTGAGGGCTCTCCTGGTCTCCCAGAAGCAGGGACATGGAGGCCTCTGTGTCAACAGAACGTCTCTATCTTTAAACTGTTGTTTTGGGGTTGCAGGTGACCCCGCTCCAGGAATTGCAGAGGCTCTTGACCAGGCACTCTGCCTCTAGGGTGAAATCATCAGGGAATGAGTGTGTCCATATCAGGAAGGGTGTGAGGACAGAAGGGGTAAACTGAGGAATATTCTGAGTCAATCTGAAGACCCTTGCCCTCCTGCTTGGACACCGAGAGCCAAGATGAAGGAAGAGAGATCTGACCCAGTCAAAGGCCAGGAACAAAGGCCAGGTCCGAATTCTCCCCCTACTCCACCTTGTGGCTCCCAGACGTCCCTCCCACACTGAGGCCTCACAGCCTACTCTTCCATTTAGCTTTGGGGGCCCCTTTATCACCCCCTCCAACCCAAAACCTTTCCCCACCAGGCTGGGCTCCTCTCACCTAGGACGACAGCTTCTTCCTCATTCTCATCTGCTTCTGCCCAGGTCACCCGCTGGGCTCGCCGCTGGGCCTGCAGGCGGCTGCCCAGGTCCCTCCGGCGCCGGGGCCTGCTTCCAGCTCGTAACTCCTCAGGCTCCAGGGGCCGAGGCTGGGACACCCAGCCTGCTCCTGCCAGCTCCTCCTCATTGTGCAGTGACTGTTGGCCAGCTGTAGGGAAGACAGAAATGACAACACTACCCAGCAGCCCAGCCCAGCCCATGGCAGGAGCAGCAGCCGCAGCCTGGAAGCCTAACCTCCTCTGCTCAGTCTCCTGCTGCCCACAGTACAAAGCCCGGACTTCTCAGCCTGGCTGGCAAGGCCTTTTTTACCAGGCTCACAGTTTGGTCCCAGGCAGCGGCTCAGCCCTTCCCTCCCACTCCTGTGAATACTCTCCTCTCCCCTCCCTGCTCCACCTTTCCAGCTGGCCTGTCAGGAGCCCCTTACCCTGATGTCCCCAGCTCTCATCTAGTGCCCCCTGCAGGACTCTATTGATTGCTCTCCTAACACCACCTGTGGTTTTATCTGGCTCCCCAACCAGAGTACACATCCCAGCGGTGGCCGAGCCTCCCCCAGGAAGACCTGCTGGCTCTCCGCCTTCCCTCAGCGTGGCCCTCCCACCCCCGGGAACACGCAGGTGCTCAGAGGTAGCTTGTGGGCCCAAGGAGCGGGGAGACACATACACAAACCAACCCGCTGACCAGAAATGGGGAAAAGGGGGGAGGATGGGTGTATCTGTTCTGTGCCCTGAAGGATGATATGGCCTTCTTCTGATAGGGGTGCAAATCAGTGAGGGAGTGTGGGCACTCTCTTTGGCGGGAAGGGAGAGCACTTCAGGAGTTTCCTGGAGCCGCCTCACGCTTCTCCAACAGGCAGAAAATATTCGGATGCCCACTTCCTGGCACCTGCTCTGGAGCCAGGCTGGGAGGAATGGGAAACTCCTGCGGCCTCCCTAACAGGCGCAGAGGGAGAGGGCCCAGACGGTGACGGATGGGAGTGTGCGCCGGCCAGGGCCTGAGGCCTTTGGAGGTATGGAGTTCCTGGGGGCGAGGCTCTGGCTTGGGGTCGGGAAAAAGGAGTAGCTGCGCAGTCACCAGTAACAGGAAGCCTACAGTGAGGGCCCCGCCGGGCCCATTAAGCGCACGGACGCGCATGCGCTCTGCCCGCCCAGATGCGCACGTACTTGACGGTCTACAAAGGCTCAGAAGGCCAGAGAACCCGGCCCCACCACTCCTGGCGCAGCGGCATCTCCTACCTGATGCCGCCCGGCCCCGGCTGCGAGTCAGAAAGAGGATAAAGCCGACTAGCAGAGCCGCCGCTACCAAGTACCACACGGGCGCCACCATGACGAAAGCCTCCAGGCAGAACCACTGCGTCCACACAGAGGCCCGGGATCTTCTAGGCCCAGCCCCCGTTTCCCAGTCTAGACCCCGCCCACCGTTCGGAGTTCCGCCCAACCGCACATCAGAGAGGCTTTAATGTAAAATATTAAAATGAGTTTGGGGGGCGTAAAAAAAACCCCATAATGTTAGAAGGAAATTATTGCAGACGGTGTGTGCAGGAGAAAACGTATATTTTTAAAACATCTAGTTTTAAAATCACTAAACAATCGCACATAGTGTTTCTGGAAACCACCGTGGAAAAAGTACGAAAAGAGGCTTGGGACTGAGGCACACCAACTTCAGGATAGCGATTACTTCTAGGAGGAAGGAAGCCGCTTGGGTTTAAGCCCTGACCTTTAGCTATACCTGTGACATTGGATTTCTTTGAATGCGACCAAATCTTTGATTTTAATACCTTGTGATATATATATATATTTTTTTTTATTTTTTATTTTTTAATTTTTGACGAAGTCTCACTCTTGTCGCCCAGGCTGGAGTGCAATGGCGTGATCTTGGCCCACTGCAACCTCTGCCTCTCGGGTTCAAGCGATTCTCCTGCCTCAGCCTCCCGAGTAGCTGGGATTACAGTAGAGACGGGGTTTCACCATGTTGGCCAGGCTGGTCTCGAGCTCCTGACCTCAGGTGATCTGCCCACTTCGGCCTCTCAAGGTGCTGGGATTACAGGCATGAACTACCGCACCCGGCCAGTATACTTTTTTTTACTCAGATCTGCAATTTTATACCTATTTAAAAATTAAATTAGCTTGTACAAGAACTCATGATCCAGTTTTCCATAGTGAGCACTTGATATGCTCACTGGGAATTAAAATTTCTCTTTTGGCTGGGCGCGGTGGCTCACGCCCATAATTCCAGCACTTTGGGAGGCCAAGGCAGGCGGATTTGCTTGAGGTCAGGAGTTTGAGACCAGCCTGGCCAACAGGGCAAAACCCTGCCTCTACTAAATTACAAAAATTTGTCCAGGGGCAGTGGCTCATACCTGTAAATCCAGCACCTTGGGAGGCCAAGGTGGGCAGATCACAAGGTCAAGAGATGGACACCATACTGGCCAACATGGTGAAAACCCGTCTCTACTAAAAATACAAAAATTAGCTGGGCATGGTGTCACATGCCTATAGTCCCAGCTACTTGGGAGGCTGGGGCAGGAGAATTGCTTGAATCTGGGAGGGGAAGGTTGCAGTGAGCCGAGATTGCACCACTGTACTCCAGCCTATTTACAGTTTTGAGACTGCATCTCAAAACAAAAACAGAACTGGGGACAAGATATGAACTCAAGATTTTTTTAAACAGCAAGTAATCCCAACACTTCGGGAGGCTGTGACGGGTGGATCATGAGGTCAGAAGATCGAGACCATCCTGTCTAATACGGTAAAACCCCGTCTCTACTAAAAATAAAATTAGCCAGGTGTGGTGGCATGCACCTGTAATCCCAGCTACTCAGGAGGCTGAGGCAGGAGAATCGCTTGAACCCAGGAGGTGGAGGTTGCAGTAAGCCCAGATGGCACCACTGCACTCCAGCCTGTATGACAGAGGGAGACTCAGACTCTAAAAAAAAGAAAGGCCAGTGTGGTGGCTCACGCCTGTAATCCAAGCACTTTGGAGTCCTAGGCAGGTGGATCACCTGAGGTCGGGAGTTCAAGACCAGCCTAACCAACATGGTGAAACCCTGTCTTTATTAAAAAAACGAAAACAAACAAACAAAAAACACTAAAGCAAGTAAATGGCCAGGCTCAGTGGCGCATGCCTATAATCCTAGCACTTTGGGAAGCCAAGGCAGGAGGATCATTTGAGGTCAGGAGTTCCAGACCAGCCTGAGCAACATGATGAAACCCCATCTCTACAAAAAAAAAAATACAAAAATTAGCCGGGCCTGATGGAGATGCCTGTAATCCCAGCTGAGGGGCCAGATGTGGTGGCTACTCTGTTAACCCAGCACTTTGGGAAGCCTAGGCAGGATGAAACCCTGTCTCAAAAAAAAAAAAAAAAAAAAAATTAGCCAGGAATAGAGGCATGCACCTGTAATTCCAGCTACTTGGGAGGATGAGGTGGGAGGACCACCTGAACCCAGGGAGGTGGAGTCTGCAATGAGCCATGATCAGGCCACTGCACTCTAGCCTGGGTGATAGAGTGAGACCCTGTCTCAGAAAAAATAAAAATAAAAATTCAGGACCAATGAACTAATGATGAGAAAGGGATTTGAAAAAATACAGGCTGGCACAGTGGCTCACCTGTAATGCTAGCACTTTGGAAGGCTAAAGCAGGCAGATCACTTGAGGTCAGGAGTTCAAAAGCAGCCTAGCCAACATAGTGAAAACCCATCTCTACTAAAACTAGAAAAAATTATCAGAGTGTGGTGGCACATGCCTGTAATCCCAGCTACTCAGGAGGCTGAGGCAGGAGAATCTCTTGAACCCGAGAGGCAGAGGTTGCAGTGAGCCAAGATTTCGCCACTGCACTCCAGCCTGGGTGACAGAAGGAGACAGTATCTCAAAAAAAAAAAAAAAAACGGCCAGGAGTGGTGGCTGATACCTGTAATTCCAGCACTTTGGGAGGCCAAGGTGGGTGGATCATGAGGTCAAAAGTTCAAGACCAGCCTGGCCAAGATGGTGAAACCCTGTCTCTACTAAAAATACAAAAAATTAGTCAGGTGTGGTTGCACACACCTGTAATCCCAGCTACTTGGGAGGCTAAGGCAGAGAATTGCATAAACCTGGGAGGCGGAGGTTGCAGTGAGCTGAGATTGGGCCACTGCACTCCAGCCTGGACGACAGAGCAAGACTCTGTCTCAAAAAAAAGAAAAGAAAATACATATGGGCTGGGTGCAGTGGCTCACTCCTGTAATCCCAGCACGTTGGGAGGCTGAGGTGGATGGATCACCTGAGCTGAGGAGTTCAAGACCAGCCTAACCAACATAGTGAAACCCTGTCTCTACTAAAAATACAAAATTAGCTGGGCATGGTGGCGGGCGCCTTTAATTCCAGCTACTTGGGAGCTGAGGCAGAATTGCATGAACCTGGGAGGCAGAGGTTGCAGTGAGCCAAGGTCATGCCATATGCCATATGCCATTGCACTCCAGCCTGGGCAACAAAGCAAGACTCAGTCTCAAAAAAAAAAAAAAAAAAAAAAGAAAGAAAATATAGCAATGTTAATATATTAACATCTGTGAGATTGGAATGGTGGGAACTTTGGCATCTATTTTATTATTTTCTATAAATTTGAAATAATTCACTATATACATTTTGTTTTTCTGAGACAAGGTCTCGCTTTGTTGCCCAGGCTGGAGTGCAGCAGTACAATCATAACTCATTGCAGCCTCAAACTCTTGTGCTCAAGTGGTCCTCCTGCCTAAGCCTACTGAGTAGCTAAGACTACAAGCATGTGCCACTACACCCAGCTAATTTTTTTTCTTTTTTCTTTTGAAACAGAGTCTCACTCTGTTGCCCAGGCTGGAGTGCAGTGGTGTGATCTCAGCTCACTGCAACCTCTGCTTCTTAAGCACAAGTAATCCTTCCACCTCAGCCTCCCAAGGTAGTGAGAATATAGGCATGAACCATCAAGCCCCACTAATTTTTATTATTTATTATTTTTTATTCTTTTGAGTTGGAAGAGTCATGCTCTGCCGCCTAGGCTGGAGTGCAGTGGTGCGACCTCAGCTTACTGCAACCTCTGCCTCCTGGGTTCAAGTGGTTCTCCTGCCTTGGCCTCCTGAGTAGCTGGGATTACAGGTCCACACCACCATGCCCATTATTTCTTGTATTTTTAGTAGTGATAGGGTTTCACCAGGTTGGTTCGCTGTTTTTGTTTTTGTTTTCTTGAGACAGAGTCTTGCTTTGTTGCCAGACACCAGGCTGGAGTGCAGTGGCACAATCTTGGCTCACTGCAATCTCCGCCTCCTGGGTTCAAGCAATTCTCCTGCCTCAGCCTCCCAAGTAGCTGGGACTACAGGAGGGCGCCACCATGCCCAGCTAATTTTTGTCTTTTTTTTTTTTGTAGAGACGGGATTTCAACATGTTGGCCAGGATGGTCTCGATCTCTTGACCTCGTGATCCACCTGCCTCAGCCTCCCAAAGTACTGGGATTACAGGTGCCCGGCCAGTTCACTGGTCTTAAAACTCCTGACTTCAAGTGATCTTCCCACCTCGGCCTCCCAAAGTGCTGGGATCATAGGCGTGAGCCAACGCACCTGGTCTTTAAAATTTTTTTTGTAGAGATGGGTTCTCACTATTTTGTCCAGGCTGGTCTCGAACTCCTGGGCTCAAGTATGTTCCCGCCTTAGCCTCCCGAAGTGCTAAATTGTGTTATGTTGTGTTGTATTGTGTCGATTTATGTATTTTAAGACAGAGTCTCACTCTGTTGTCCAGGTTGAAGTGCAATGGCATGATCTCAGCTCACTGGAATCTCCGCCTCCTGGGCTCAAGCAATTCTCCTGTCTCAGCCTCCCAAGTAGCTGGGACTATAGGTACGTGCCACCATGCCTGGCTAATTTTCTTATTTTTAGTAGAGACGGGGCTGATTTACTAAACCCACAGGAGTAATCCACCCGCCACAGCCTCCAAAAGTGCTGGGATTACTGGCGTGAGCCACTGAACCCAGCCTATTTTATTTAAGACAAGGTCTCAACTCTGTCACCAAGGCAGGAGTGCAGGGCGACAATCTTGGTTTTCCACATCCTCCCAGGCTCAAGCCATCCTCCCACCTTAGCCTCCCAAGTAGCTGGGACAACAGGCTGGCACCACCATGCCTGGCCAACTTTTGTATTTTTTTGTAGAGACCGGGTTTCACCATGTTGCCCAGCCTGGTCTTAAACTCCTGAGCTCAAGCAGTCTGCCCACCTCAGCCTCCCAAGGTGCTGGATCACAGGCATGCACAACCGAGCCTGGCCTAAATAGTATTTTGACAAAGAGCCATAAATCCTATATAGTGATAAGACAAATGAGAGAGCAGTGCTAGTCTTTTAAAATGTGGGAAGATAGTAAAATCTGTTCCCAGATTCCTCTGGTGTCTGCGAGTGCTTTTTGGAAGCTGATAAAGTGCTGTCTCCAATAAGGAAGGATTTAGGTTGAGGCAAGGAGAGGCTGAGGCAGTTCCCCTGTGTTTCCAGTAACTTTAACAATCCTGAACATTTTGAGAAATATTTTGAGTTCCTGCAAGGGAAAGAATTGTCCTTTTCTTTTTTTTTTTTTTTTGAGACTGAATCTCACTCTTGTCGCCCAGGCTGGAGTTCAGTGGTGTGATGTGATGTGATCTTGGCTCACTGCAACCTTTGCCTCCTGGGTTCAAACTATTCTCCTGCCTCAGTCTCCTGAGTAGCTGGGATTATAGGCACCTGCCACCATGCCTGGCCAGAGTTGTCCTTTTCTTAACTGGGTTTCCTTCACCATTGGGGGAATACAGATCCAAAGACATTTTCTGGCACATTCCTTGCTGAAGAGGGTAAAAATTTACACATTCAGGGCTGGGTGGTGGCTCATGCCTATAATCCCAGCACTTGAGGAGGCAGAGTGGGCAGATTGCCTGGACTCAGGAGTTTGAGACCAGCCTGGGCAACATGATGAAACCCCATCTCTATAAAAAAAACACAAAAATTAAGCCAGGCATGGTGGTGTGTGTCTCTAGTCCCAGCTACTCAGGAGGCTAAGGCAAGAGGATCACTTGAGCCCAGAAGGTTGAGGCTGCAGTGAGTCAAGATCACACTGCTGCACTCCAGCCTGGGTGACATAGTGAGACCTCATGTGTTAAAAAAGTTTACACATTTTTGGGAGGCCGAGGCGGGTGGATCACGAGGTCAAGAGATCGAGACCATCCTAGTCAACATGGTGAAACCACGTCTCTACTAAAAAAACAAAAAATTAGCTGGGCATGGTGGCCCGTGCCTGTAATCCCAGCTACTCAGGAGGCTGAGGCAGGAGAATTGCCTGAACCCAGGAGGCGGAGGTTGCGGTGAGCCAAGATTGCGCCATTGCACTCCAGCCTGGGTAACAAAGAGCGAAACTCCGTCTCAAAAAAAAAAAAAATTTACACATTTAGGTCAGGCACAGTGGCTCACGCCTGTAATCCCAGCACTTTGGGAGGCTGAGGTGGGCAGATCACGAGCTCAGGGGTTCAAGACTAGCCTGGCCAGTATAGTGAAACCTTGTCTCTACTAAAAATACAAAAAATTAGCCAGGTGTGGTGGCACGTGCCTGTAGTCCCAGCTACTCAGGAGGCTGAGGCAGGAGAATCGCTTGAACCTGGGAGGCAGAGGTTACAATGAGCTGAGATTGTGCCACTGCACTCCAGCCTGGGCAACAGAAAGAAAGAGACATCATCTTAAAAAAAAAAGTAGAAGAAAAAACAGATTCCTTTTATAAGGATTTCCACCTGGTGAATGTTTCTGTAGCTTCCGGAATTCTGCTTAAAATGTGTTTCTCGAATTTGCCTTTTTTTGGTTTTTGACTTGTACCACCACTTGAGACAGCTTTATTTGGCCTAGGATCTGAAGAGAAGCTGCTCCCCATCCTGAAGGATCAATTCTTTGGCTTTAGATATCTGCTCACACCTATAATCCCAGCATTTTGGGAGGCTGAGGTGGGCCATCACTTGAGGTCAGGAGTTTGAGACCAGCCTGGTCAACATGGTGAAACCCCATCTCTATTAAAGATACAAAAATTCACTGGGCATGGTGGTGCATGCCTGTAGTCCCAGCTACTTGGGAGGCTGAGGCAAGAGGATTGCTCAAACCTGGGAGGCAGAGGTTGCAGTGAGCTGAGATCACGCCACTATACTCCAGCCTGGGCAGTAAGAGTGAGACTTAGTTGGGAAAAAGAAAGGGGAAAGGAAAGAGGAAAGAAGAAAGGAAAAAGGAAAGGAAAGGGGGGGGGAGAGAGAGAGAGAAAGAAAGAAAGAAAAAGAAAAAGAAAGAAAAAGACAGTTATCTATGGAATTATAATTACAGAAGTCAGTTGTATCTTTTTGTTTGTTGTTTTTTTGGGACAGGGTCTCACTCGCATCACCCAGGCTGGACTGCAGTGGCACTCTTGGCTCATTGAAGCCTTAACTTCGTAGGCTCAGGTGATCCTCCCACCTCAGCCTTATGAATAGCTGGGACTACCGGCATGTGCCCCCATGCCCAGCTAATTTTTTGTAGACTGGTTTCACCATGTTGCCCAGGCTGGTCTTGAACTCCTGACCTCAGGTGATCCACCCGCCTTGGCCTTCCAAAATGTTGGGGTTACAGGTGTGAGCCACTGCACCCGACAGGTTCCCACACTTTGATGAGCATCAGGATGGCCTAAGGAGCTTGGTAAGAAGTCAGACTGCCGGGCGCGGTGGCTCACGCCTGTAATCCCAGTACTTTGGGGGCCGAGGCCGGCGGATTGCTAGAACTCAGGAGTTTCCGACCAGTATGGGCAACATGGTGAAACCCTGTTTCTACTAAAAAAACAAAAAACAAAGAATTAGCTGGGCGTGGTGGCGTGCGCCTGTAGTCCCAGCTACTCGGGAGGCTGAGGCAAGAGAATTGCTTGAACCCAAGAGGCAGAGGTTGCAGTAAGCCAAGATTGCGCCACTGAACTCCAGCCTGGGCGACAGAGCGAGACTCCACCTCAAAAAAAAAAAAAAAAGAAAGAAAGAAAAGTCAGACTCCCTCCCTTTCTTGTCCATGGGCAGAAGTGGCCATTCAAGAGGTACTGCCCCAGGATTCCAGGCTATGGGCAGAGGGCTGAGTCTCTGGAGGAGGGAGTCAGATGACTTGCCCCAAAGAGAGCATCAGCAGAGGTTCACCAGACCCACCGTTGAGAGAGCACGTCCTACTCACTGTTGTGTTTGGAATGCAAAGATCTGGCTGAAACGGTGGCCCTGGAGAAGGGGTGATGGATTTGAGAGGCTGGAGGGATGAGGAAGTGAGGGAGTCTAGATACTGAGCTCTCAAGCCCAGGAATGAAAACTAGGTTTGGGCTTGTTTTAGGCTATGCCGAGCTTAAATTCAGAGTCAGTGGATCAGAGCTGGCGAGGAAGGCTGCGGGTGAGATCAGAATGAAGGTTTTGGAGCCCTTACCTAGAAGGACGCAGTTTTTTTTGAGACAGCCTTAGGAGAGCGCAAACCTTCAGGAGCATAGAGCTGCAGTCTTCTCTCGGAGACCCCACCGCAGAGAAGAGCGGAAAGCAGAGGCGGGGAGGGGCGGGGCGGGGAGGGGCGGTGCAGGAGTGGGATTTTTTTCTTTTCCTTTTTCTTTTTGGGACGGAGTTTCGCTCTTGTTGCCCAGGCTGGAGTGCAGTGGCGCTATCTCGGCTCAAAGCAACCTCCGCCTCCTGGGTTCAAGCGATTCCCGTGTCTCAGTCTCCAGAGTAGCTGGGATTACAGGCACCGCCACCAGGTCCGGTTAATATTTTGTATTTGTAGTGGAGACGGGGTTTCACCATGTTGGCCAGGCTTCTCTCGAACTCCGACCTCAAGTGATCCACCCGCCTCGGCCTCCCAAAGTGCTGGATTACAGGCCTGAGCCACAGCGCGCGGGCTCTTCCGGTTCTTGAAGAGAGCGTCCCTTAAACAGGAGGGACAGGTCTTAGCGCACTCAGTCTCCAGGCTTGGGAGGTCCCTAGCAATTCGAACGCGAAGGGCTAGGTTACCACGGCAAGCCCACCCACCCGATACGTGTCTTGAAGTCCGGGTCCGTTCCCCCCCGCCCCGCCCCGCCCCGCCCCCGATCTCTGGTCGGAAACTGAGCCGTTTACTTCCGCCACCGGCCGGAAGTGTGCTGCCACTGAATGCCAAGGAGTTTCCAGTGGCTCCGCCGTGTAACCGGGGCTCCCTATGGCGGCTTCCTTGGTGGGGAAGAAGATCGTGTTTGTCACGGGGAACGCCAAAAAACTAGAGGAGGTGCCGGGAGGGTGTTGGGGGTTGACTGGGAGGCGGCCGGGAATAGGGCGGAGAAGGGGCTTCCGGGCGAAAGGAACCACGTGGGAGGAGGCACGGACAGTGAACGGAATTCAGCCGAGAAGGATGGGTCCCCACCCGATTGTGTGGAAGGACTGGGGCTCAAAAAGGGAGCAGCTACGGAGTCAAGACGCCCCTGGGTGGGAGAGGGAACGAGGGCCTTGACAGATCCTGATAGAGGGCTTGTGTGGTCAGCGACCGCCGGAGCTGGAGGAGTAGCGGCGCCTTTAGCAACCGCCCCCGAGGTCGCCTATTGAACTAGACCTCAACCCTGGGTCCTGATACTCTTCCTGGACTTACCCACCTCCTGCTGCTGGGCCAGGGCTAGAAGGACCCAGGGCGTAGGACGGAGTTCCACACTGAGCAGTCCATGCCTCACCACCGTCCTCAAATGTTCTAACCTCTTTTCGCATGTGTGAAATGAGGGTGTTGCAGGACATTTGCTTCACAGCGCTATAGAGAGGAGGATCGAAAGTTTCTGTTTGCAGGACTTTGTGGCTAGCAAGTAACAGAGACACACAGGGAGCTCATGTAAGCCACCAGAGGACTCTTGTGGGAATTTAGTGTTACCGTGTCCCACAGGACCTGAGGTTCCCTCAGGGAGCTGACTTGTCGTTCTCTCTGGATACTGATTCCTATTCCTGTTCAGATCTTTCATTTTTCTTCCTTGCTGGGGATGGAACAATGAGGCTTCTTCTACAAGATAACAGCTCTGATTGGCCTTGCTTGAATCAAGGGTTTTCCTCTGTTCAATTAGCCATAGCCAGAGTGGTGGTGATGTGTGGGGAATCAGGATGACACCCATTGGATATGTCTGAGGCAGAACTCGTGGGATGTAATCACTAGGGAAACCTACATTTGCCTGTAACATAGGGAGGGACTGATGTCATTTCTGTGCCAGGACAGAGTGGCCTTCTCAGGAACCAGAGCCTTCTGATGGAAAAAGGTTTGGGATCCTGAGGCCAGACCAGTCAGGCAGTGCCACCCAGAACAGAGACATGCAGGACAGTGGGCATGAGACCCCAAACCTCTAGCTGAGAACATTGCTCTCTCTCCTTTAAAGAAGTAGCTGGGTGCGGTGCCTCAAGCCTGTAATCCCAGCACTTTGGAAGGCTGAGGCAGGCAGATCATCTGAGGTCAGGAGTTCAAGACCAGTCTGGCCAACATGATGAAACTGCCTCTCTACTAAAAATACAAAAATTAGCTGGGCATGGTGGCACACACCTGTAGTCCCAGCTACTCAGAGGCAGAGGCAGGAGAATTGCTTGAACCCAGAAGGTGGAGATTGCAGTGAGCTGAGATGGTGCCACTGCACTCTAGCCTGGGTGACAGAGTGAGACTTCGTTTCAAAAAAAAAAAAAGGAAGGCACTAGAGTGGCCAAGGGAGGCTCCTGGAGAACATGGGCTTGAACTTGGCCTAGAACGGGTAGTCTTTTTTTTTTTTGAAACAGCATCTCACTCTGTTGCCCAGGCTGGAGTGCACAGGCCTCCTGAATTCTGGGAGTCTTCTGATACAGAATTCCTGGTCTAGGAAGATGGTTAGGGTTTCTGGGGGCATTGAGAAGGGAAGGGGGTGTTCTGGATGGGGGCTTAGCACAAGCAGAGACCTGAAGTACGAGAGATAGAGAAGTAAGGAGATGTAAGGGGCTGGCTTGCTGGGGTGGGACCCTGAAAGCTGGGGTGAGGCTCATGGTCCTGAGTTGGTGAGCTTTAGGAGATCGGTAGGAGAGTTATCAATGAGAAAGGTGGATGACAGCTCACATGCTCACATAGTAATGGGGAATCATTAGACGGTGATAAATGTTCTCTTTTCTTTTGGAACAGGTCATTCAGATTCTAGGAGATAAATTTCCATGCACTTTGGTAGCACAGAAAATTGACCGTAGGTCTCCATTTTGTTTTATTTTTAAAAGATGGTTGGATTTTTCTGTATTCCTGTGACCTGACCCTCCTGTGTGTCTGTTTCCCTGTTAAGTGCCGGAGTACCAGGGGGAGCCGGATGAGATTTCCATACAGAAATGTCAGGAGGCAGCTCGCCAGGTACTTGCCCTGCCCTTGTCTCATACTTGCTCCTCTTGTCCAGGTAGCTTTTGGGGCCTGTGCCTGCCAGAAACAACAGAGTAGGCACAGTTTGTTGAGCTTTCTAGGACCTGCCCAGAGCCCTTTAGGGTTTAGTTAATACTGGCTTTGGAACACTGCCTTCCTTTGCCAGCCTTGAATACATGGTATCTCCCCGCCCAGACCACCACCATACACACCTACATACACACAGACTCCCCTTCCCCCAAATGCTCAGACATGCATTCTAGCCCTACATCTTCCCCACACACATCCACCGCTGCGTTCACACATCTTCGTGGAACTGAGAAAGCATGCTGTGGAGTCAGGCTGAGTGCAAATCCAGCTCTCCCACTGCTGTGCCTGGAGCAAGCTTTACAATCAGCCAAAGCTTTGGTGTCCTCATCGCTAAAATGAAGATAAGAGATTGGCTAAGGGCAGCTCCTGTGGCTCTGCCTGCTGCAGATCTCAGCTAGCTGAGGGCTGGCCCCAGTCTGGGTGACCTGGGGGTTCCAGGTGGGGATTGTGTCATGGGTCTCAGGGCTGCATGTCTTCGTGCTGCAGGTACAGGGGCCCGTGCTGGTTGAGGACACCTGTCTGTGCTTCAATGCCCTCGGAGGGCTCCCCGGCCCCTACATGTAAGTGTTCACCTCCACCCCCTTACAGGGCCCCAGGCCCAAAATCACTAGAACTGCAAAATGAGTAGATACCTGATACTGCAGGTCATTCACTGTCTTGGCATCAATAGCCTTTCACATTGTCTAGAGGAAAGATGGCATAGGAGAAGCATGTCTTTCTTTTGTAAAGTGTGAGAATGCAACCATGTAAGTGGAGATAGTAAAGGGGACCCACCCATTGAGAAGTACATTCATAGGTAGATTAATTTCCGTAAAGAGAAAACAAGGAAGTTGGAATGTAAAACTTGATTTCTTTTTTTTTTTTTTTTGATACAGTCTCTCTGTTACCCAGGCTAGAGTGCAGGCGTGATCATGGCTCACTGCAGTCTCCACCTCCTAGGCTCAGGTGATCATCCCACTTCAGCCTCCTGGGTAGCTGGGACTACAGGTGCACGTCATCACACCAGTTGTTTTTTGTATTTATTTACTTTTGGTGTGTGAGACAGGGTCTCAGTCTGTCGCTGAGGCAGGAGTGCAGTGGTGCGATCGCAGCTCACTCCCTGGGCTCACTCCCTGCCTCAGCCTCCCGAGTAGCTGGGACTACAGGCACGTGCCCAGCTAGTTTTGTATTTTTTGTAGAGATGGGATTTGCCATATTGCCCAGGTATTTCTCAAACTCCTGAGCTTAAGCGATCCACCTACCTTAGCTTCCCAAAGTACTGGGACCTCACCTGGCCCTTGGAGGCATTCTTTTTCATTTCCCCTTGGCTGTCAATAAGGAACAGCCTGGAAAAGGTGGTAAGAAGATCCAGCTGCTCCTGGTGTCTGACTCTCCTTTATTTCTCTTGTAGAAAGTGGTTTCTGGAGAAGTTAAAGCCTGAAGGTATTATCTGCTTTGTTTCTTCCGTGGATCTGTTGGGAATGAGAATATGCGCTTGGTGTAGGGGAGGGACCCCAATTAGTATTCAGGAGTCTCAGATTCTAGCTCCCACCATAGAGCCTCCACCTCAGTTTCCCCATCTAGCACCTGCAGCTCACACTTACCCTGAACTCCAGAGAACACCGCATAAGGGAGGGATGGTGGGAGCTGTAGGGTTGAGGGACAGAGGGGCTATAGTTAATTTTGGGTTTCAAGAGGGACTTGGCCTTCATGACTCCCTTAGCTAGGGCCTGCCCTGGGAGTTGGAGGACTGCCCCTGGTCCCCAGCAGTGCATATCCTTTCACCCACAGCTGCAGGCCAAAATGTTCCCTCTTTATTGTGCATTCATTCATTTATTTAGAGATGGAGTCTCACTTGTCACCCAGGCTGGAGTGCAGTGGCACAATCTTAGCTCACTGCCACCTCCACCTCCCGGGTTCAAGCAGTCCTTCTGCCTCAGCCTCCCAGGTAGCTGGGATTACAGGCATGCACCACCACACTAGCTATTTTTTGTATTTTTAGTAGAGATGGGGTTTTGCCATGTTGGCCAGGCTGGTCTCAAACTCCTGACCTCAGGTGATCTGTCCACCTCCCAAAGTGCTGGGATTACAGGTGTGAGCCACCACTCCCAGCCTATTTTATTTCTTTGAGACAGTGTCCCCCTCTGTTGCCCAGGCTGGAGTACAATGGCGCAGTCTCAGCTCACTGCAGCCTCTGCCTCCTGAGTTCAAGTGATTCCCCTGCCTCAGCCTCCCGAGTAGCTGGGATTGCAGGTGCCCACCACCAGGCCTGGCTAATTCATGTATTTTTCTTTTTTTCTTTCTTTCTTTCTTTTTTTTTTTTTTTTTTGAGCCACAGCACCTGTTTTTTTAATTTTTATTTTTATTCGTTTTTAATTTTTTTGGGAGACAGGGTCTCCCAGTGTTGCCCAGGCTGGAGTGCAGTGGCTCAATCTCAGCTCACTGCCCACCTTCCAAGCTCAAGCAATCCTCCCACCTCAGCCTCCTGAGTAGCTGGGACTACAGGTGTAAGCCCCCATGCCCAGCTAATTTTTGTATTTTTTGTTGAGATGAGCTCTCGCTATGTTGCCCAGGCTGGTCTCAAAACTCCTGAGCTCAAGGGACCTATCCACCTTGGCCTCCCAAAGTGTTGGGATTACAGGTATAAGCCACCACGCCCAACCGCTGTATTTCTTTTTTCTTTTCTTTCTTTTTTTTTTTTTTTGAGACTGATATTCTCTCTCTGTCACCCAGGCTGGAGAGCAGTGATGCCATCTTGGCTCACTGCAACCTCTGCCTCCCAGGTTCAAGCAATTCTTCTGCCTCAGTCTCCGGAGTAGCTGGGACTACAGGCATATGCCACCATGCCTGGCTAATTTTTGTATTATTAGTAGAGATAGGGTTTCATCATATTGGCTGGACTAGTCTCAAACTCCTGACCTCATGATCCACCTGCCTCGGCCTCCCAGTGTGTTGGGATTATAGGTGTGAGCCACCACCCCCTGCCAGCCACTGTTTTTCTAAAAGATGAAAAATTTAGGGCCGGGCATGGTGGCTCACCCCTGTAATCCCAGCAATTTGGGAGGCTGAGACGGGTAGATTACCTGAGGTTGGGAGTTTGAGACCAGCCTGACCAACATGGAGAAATCCTGTCTCTACTAAAAACATAAAATTAGCCGGGTGTGGTGGCGCATGCCTATAGTCCCAGCTACTAGGGAGAGTAAGGCAGGAGAATCATTTGAACTCGAGAGGCGAAAGTTGTAGTGAGCCAAGATTCCACCACTGGACTCCAGCCTGAGCGACAGAGTGAGACTCTGCCTCAAAATAAAAAGAAAAAGAAAGAAAAGAAAAGTGAAAAATTTTTGCATTGGCTAGTTTTCTGACTTTAAACAAAGCCTTGTGTCAGCCTGCGCCGGGGGAAGCGAAGATGCCCAGAGACTTCCATTTCAAACCTAGTCCCACTGCCTGGGGTTCTGCTGCCCTGTTACTACTGCAACTGAGACCTAATTTCCCCTTATAGGAGTTCCTCCCTCCCCACCCTTGGTGGGCTTCTGGGGAGTGGGAGTGGGAGCTGGCCAGCAAAGAAGCACTGAGCCCTTACTGTACCCACCCACAGGTCTCCACCAGCTCCTGGCCGGGTTCGAGGACAAGTCAGCCTACGCGCTCTGCACATTTGCACTCAGCACAGGGCACCCGAACCAGCCTGTGCGTCTGTTCAGGGGCCGGACCTTGGTGCGTACCCACCTTGATGTAGTTCCTGCCGCATGCCACCAGAGGGCACCGCGACCCGAGGTGGCTGCTCAGAGTCTGCAGGAAGTTGGTGGGAAGGGCGCCCTGGGGCCAGAGATGGTTATCCGTGCCTTTCTGAGAGGCTCCCCGGGGCGGCACAGGTAGAAGTGCTGTCAGTCCTAGAAGAGTGGTGGAAAGGGTGCCCTGGGGCCAGAGTACCTAACGCCTTGCTGAGGGGCGCCCCTGGGCAGGACAATGAAAAGTGTCCTCAATTCTGAAACCTGTTTTACCCCTGAGGCCTGATAGACTCAAAAGTGCAAACTGAAGGTGACAACTCCCAAAGCTATTTTTTTTCTATTTTTCCTTTTTTTTGTATTGCTTTGTTGTTGTTGGTAAGAAGCCACACTTGGATAAAAGCTACATCTGTAGTCCAGACTTCTCCAAGCTCAGATCTCCTTATCCAGCTGCCAGGGTGCTTGACTGTCTCTGCCTTTTCAGCTTTTCATGTTCATGTATAATAGATTCTGAATTCTTTTTTATTTATTTTTTGAGACAGAGTCTTGCTCTGTTGTCCAGGTTGGGGTGCAGTAGCATCATCTCAACTCACTGCAACCTCTGCCTCCAGGGTTCAAGCATAGAATCTTAATTCTTAGCCAGGTTTGGTTAATTACCCCTGTAATCCCAGCACTTTGGGAGGCCTAGGTGGGAGGCTTTCTTGAGCCCAGGTGTTCAAGATCAGCCTGGGCACCATAACGAGACTCCATCTTTTAAAAAAAATTAAAAGTGAGGCCAAGCACAGTGGCTCACACATGTAATCCCAGCACTTTGCGAAGCCAAGGCAGGAGGATTGCCTGAGGCCAGGAGTTTGAGACCAGTCTGGGTAACATAGCCACAACCTGTCTCAAAAAAAAAAAAAATTTTGGCTGTGTGCAGTGGTTCATGCCTGTGGGCAGATCACCTGAGGTCGGCAGTTCAAGACCAGCCTGACCAACATGGAGAAACCCCTTCTCTACTAAAAATACAAAATTAGCTGGGCATGGTGGCATGTTCCTGTAATCCCAGCCACTCTGGAGGCTGAGGCAGGACAGTCACTTGAACCCAGGAGGCAGAGGCTGTGGTGAGCTGGGATCACGCTATTGTACTCCAGCCTGGGTGACAAGAGCAAAACTGTCTAAAAAAACTGAAAATTAAAACTTAGCCGGGCATGGTGGCGCACACCTGTAGTCCTAGCTACCTGGGAGGCTGAGGTGACAGGATCACCTAAACCCAGGAATTTGAGGGTACAGTGAACTATGATCGAACTCCTGCACACCAGCCATGGAGTGACAGAATGAGACCCAGTCTCAAAAAAGAAAAAAACAAAATCCTTAATTTTTGCCCAAACTCATTCCTTCTGTGAGATGCATGTGCAGAAGCGTGTCTTCTGCCACTCCACTCCTGCCATTCCTCTTGTTCAGGAGAAAGTCCAGAGATTCCACTGTGTGCTCTTCACAGATGGCTTACCTTGTCTGCTCAAACTTTTTGGTGGTGGTGGTAATGGTAAAAAAAAAAAAAATTACTATCGTAATCTTTCTTTTTTTTCTTGATACTAGCTGGATATAGGTTTTTGTTTTTGTTTTTAAAGAGACAGTGTTTTACTTTGTCACCCAGCCTGGAGGGAGGTGGCACAATCATAGCTCACTGACTCCTTGAACTCCTGGGCTCAAGGGATCCTCTGCCTCAGCCACCTGAGTAGCTGAGACTATAGGCACATGCCACTGCACCTGGCTAATTAATTTTATTTTTTGTAGAAATTCAGTCTTGCCATCTTGCCCAGGCTGGTCTTGAACTCCTGGGCTCAAGTGATCCACTCACCTTGGACTCCCAAAGTGCTGGGATTGCAAGGCATGAGCCACCACACCCAGCCATAATATTGATTGATTGATTGATTGAGACTGAGTCCCTCTCTTTCCCAGGCTTGAGTGCAGTGGCATGATCTCGGCTCTCTGCAACCTTGACCTCCCACATTCAAGCTATTCTTTTGTGTCGGCCTCCCGAAGTAGCTGGGATTACAGGTGCGTACCACCACACCCAGCTCATTTTTGTATTTTAGTAGAGATGGGGTTTCACCATGTTGGCCAGGCTGTTATTGAACTCCTGACCTCGAGTAATCTGCCTGCCTTGGCCTCCCGAAGTGCTGGGATTACTGGCGTGAGCCACTGCACCTGGCCAATTTTTATTTTTTAAATTGAGGTGGAGTCTTGCTGTATTGCCCAGGCTGGTCTCATTGTTATGTAGCATATCTCTAGAAGTTTTTTATTTTGTAAAACTGAAACTCTACCCCATTGAACAACTCCCTTTCCCCTTCTCCAGACCCTTAGCAACCACTGTTCTACTTACTAAGAGACTACTTTAGATACCTCGTGTAAGTGGAATCATAAGGTATGAATCTTTTGTTACTAGTTCATTTCATTTAGCTTAGTGCTTTTTGTTTGTTTGTTTTTGAGATGGAGTCTTGCTCTGTTGCCTAGGCTGAAGTGCAGTGGTGCAATCTCAGCTCACTGCAACCTCTGCCTCCCGGGTTCAAGTGATTCTTCTGCCTCAGCACCTGTAGCTGGGATTACAGGTGCGCACTCCATCGGCTAATTTTTGTATTTTTAGTAGAGATGGTGTTTCACCATATTGGCCAGGCTAGTCTTGAACTCCTGACCTCGTGATCTGCCTGCCTCAGCCTCCCAGCGTGCTGGGATTACAGGCGTGAGCCACTGTGCCCGGCCATCATAATGTTTTAAGGTTCATCTGTGTTGTAGCATGTGACAGAATTTTCTATGACTTAAGGGTGAATAATATTCCCATTTCATGCAGAGACTACTTTTTCTATCAATTTATCTGTTGATGGCATTTAGCTACCTCTTGGCTATTGTGAATAACGTTGTAATGAACATGGGAGTGTGGATATCCTGTTTTCAGTTATTTTGGATAAATACCCAGAAGTGGAATTACTGGATCATGTTGCCTGGTAAATTGTTTTGTTTTGTTTTGTTTTGTGAGACAGTCTTGCTCTGTCACCCAAGCCAGAGTGCAGTGGTGCAGTCACTGCCCACTACAGCCTCCACCTCCCAGGCTCAGGTAATCCTCACACTTCAGGGAGTAACTGGGACCACATGAGCCACTACACCTGGCTAATTTTTGTATTTTTGGTATAGATAGGGTTTCACTGTGTTGCCCAGGTTGGTCTTGAACGCCTGACCTCAAGTGATCCACCCGCCTCATTCTCCCAAAGTGCTAGAATTACAGGCATAAGCCACTGTGCCTCTTTTTTTGTTTGTTTTTGAGATAGAGTTTCACTCTTGTTGCCAAGGCTGGAGTACAGTGGTGCAATCTCAACTTATTGTAACTTCCGCCTTCCGGGGTCAAGCTATTCTCCTGCCTCAGCCTCCTGAGTAGCTGGGATTACAGGTGTCTGCCACCATGCCCTGCTAATTTTGCATTTTTAGTAGAGTGGGGTGTTTCTCCATGTTGGTCAGGCTGGTCTCAAACTCCCGACCTCAGGTGACCTGCCCTCCTCAGTCTCCCAAAGTGCTGAGGCGTGAGCCACTGGGCCTTGCTTTTGTTTGTTTTTTAATAGAAACAGGGTTTCACTATTTTGCCTGGGCTAGTCATCAACTCCTAGGCTCAAGTGATCCTCCTGCCTTATCCTCCCAAAGTGCCAGGATTATAGGTGTGAGCCACCACACAGTCCCCCATACTACTTTCATTATTGAACGTAACACCTTCTTCAGTCCTTTAAGGCACTTTGCATTGGGTAATCATTAATTTTATTAATTTTTTACTGGTGTAATACCCTCTTTGGCTTAAGAGGTCTATTGTATGAGGGCAAGACTAGACCCACCGTAGCCCCAGTGCTGGGAACACCGCCTGCCCCCTGTGGGCGCACAGGTAACATTTGTTGCATGGGTGAGGTTCAGAGTGATTCAGTAACTGGCCTTGGTGCCATAGCTCCTCACAGCGCAAGTAGAATCTGCCTTCGGGTCTAAATGACTTGGCATTTATGTGGCTAATAACAGTCATGTACCACCTCCATTGTTTTTTTTTATTTTTTATTTTTTTAAGAGATGGGGTTTCACCATGTTGGCCAGGCTGGTCTTGAATTCCTGGCCTTGTGATCCACCCACCTTGGCCTCCCAAAGTGCTGGGATTACAGGCAGGCGCCACTGCGCCCAGCCCCACCTCCATTGTTTTAAAAAAATTTTTTTTAAAACGGCTAGGTATGGTGGCTCACACCTGTAATCCCAGCACTTGGGAGGCCGAGGTAGGCAGATCACCTGAGGTCAGGAGTTCAAGATCAGCCCAACCAATATGGTAAAACCCCATCTCTACTAAAAATATAAAATTATCTGGGCATGGTGATGCATGCCTGTAATCCCAGCTACTCGGGAGGCTGAGGCAGGAGAATCCCTTGAATCTGGGAGGTGGAGGTTGTGGTGAGGCGAGATGGCACCATTGCACTCCAGCCTGGGCAACAAGAGTGAAACTCCATCTCAAAAATACGATAAAATAAATAAAAATGTTTTGAGATGGTCTTTTTGTCACCCAGGCTGGAGTGCAGTGGCATGATTATATCTCCCAGGCTCGAGTCATTCTCCCACCTCAGCCTCCTGGGTAGCTAGGACCTCAGATGCGAGCAACCACATCTGGCTAGTTAAAAAAAAAAATGGTAGCAATAGGGTCTGACTGTTGCCCAGGCTGGTCTCGAACTCCTGGGTTTAAGCTATCCTCTTGCCTCGGCCTCCCAAAGTGCTGAGATTACAGGCGTGAACTACCACACCTAGCCCCTTGTATTTTTTCAGTTAGAATTTTTTGGGGTTTTTCTGGAGTGTTTGTTTTGAGACAGGGTCTCATTCTGTCACCCAGGCTGGAATACAGTGGCATGATCACAGCTCACTACAGCCCCGATCTCCTGGGCTCAAGCAATCTTCCCACCAAGTAGCTGGGACTACAGGCACACACCACCAGGGCAGGCTAATTTTTGTATTTTTTGTAGAGATGGGGTTTTGCCTTTGCCATGTTTCCCCATCTCTAAAAAAAGTAAAAAATAAAAAGGCTGGTCTCAAATTCTGGGCTCAAGCGATCTTCCCATCTCGACCTCCCAAAGGGCTGGGATTATAGGCATGAGCCACTGCACCTGGCCAGATTGTTTTTTCTTTTTGATTTTGATAACATGACATTTCATGTCACTGGATTACAATTTGTTCTTTTTCTAACATTTTCACTGTGGAATTTCCCCCCTGCAGCCGGTATTTATTGTACTCACGGATGTGTTCATGAAGTGGAGAGTTGGGTGCCCGCTTCCTGTTGCGGTATTTCATCTTAGTGTTAAAGACTCCCATGTATCTTCAGGAACGCTGTCATAATAGCAAACATCTAACTTATCCAAAGTACAGGGCACTTAGCTTCTTATTAGGAGAAAATGTTTTCTGTCTATCTTTCAAAATAGCCTCATTGTTCTTCAGTGATGACCCAGTTTGTCCCAGGTGTGTAGAGAGCGCGTGGCCCTGGAGGTGCTGGTGGGCCTGTCAGATACTTGCTTCCTCCCTGTGTGTGGGTGGGAGAGCTGCCCTGCTCTAATTATTATTATTATTATTATTATTTTAGATGGAGTCTCGCTCTGTTACCAGGCTGGAGTGCAGTGGTGCGATCTCAGCTCACTGCAGCCTCCAACTCCTGGGTTCAAGTGATTCTCCTGCCTCAGCCTCCTGAGTAGCTGTGATTACAGGGGCGTGCCCCCATGCCCAGCTCATTTTTGTATTTTTAGTAGAGACGGGGTTTCACCGTGTTGGTCAAGATGGTCTCGATCTCTTCACCTTGTGATCCGCCTGCCTTGGCCTCCCAAAGTGCTGGGATTACAGATGTGAGCCACCGTGCCCGGCCCCTGCTCTGCTTTTTATTGTATTCAGCAAACATTTGCAGGTGCTATGGAGCCCTTATAACTACATTTTGCATAAATTGGGTCAAATCAAATTCCCACACTCACCAAACTCATACTGGCTGCTGTCCTTCTCGTGCTTCTCCTCTGGACCCAGTTACACACCTATCCCCCCTTTCCTGTGGCAGGGCCAGATCGTGGCACCCAGAGGCTGCCGGGACTTTGGCTGGGACCCTTGCTTTCAGCCTGATGGATATGAGCAGACGTAAGGAGCCCTGTTTCTTCCCTGGGAGGTGGGGTTGGCATAGCCATAGTTTGGGTTGGGCCAGTGCCCCACCCAAGTGCAGGCATGCGGATATGGGCGGGGGAGGCTCCAAGGGTGCCGTTCCAGCCAAAAGCAGCTCTGCTGGGTGGACACTAGGAATCTGGGTGGCCCAGACCATGGTTGGGGAGGCAGCCAGATGGTGCTGGGAGTCCTGAGCTCTGAGGCTGCAGCTCACCGCATATCAGCTGTGTGGCCAGTGGTTCCACCTCTCTGGCCTTGGCTTGTAAGCTGTACATCTGACAGTTCTGTTTTGTTTTTTTTTGAGATGGAGTCTTGCTGTGTCACGAAGATGGAGTGCAGTGGTGCAATTTTGGCTCACTGAAACCTCTACCTCCCAGTTCCAGCAATTCTTTTGCCTTAGCTTCCTGCGTAGCTGGGACTACAGGAGCGTGCAACCATGCCTGGCTAATTTTTTTTGTCTTTTTAGTACAGACAGGGTTTCACCATGTTGGTCAGACTGGTCTCGATCTCCTGACCTCAGGTGATCCAGCTCAGCCTCCCAAAGTGCTGGGATTACAGGTATGAGCCACCACACCCAGCCAAATCTGACAGTTTTATGGTATCATTTTTTTTTTTCCCCTTTGAGACAGAGTCTCATTCTGTCACCCAGGCTGGAGTAGGCACAATCTCAGCTCACTGCAACCTCTGTCCCACAGGTTCAAGCGATTCTCCTGCCTCAGCCTCCTGAGTATTTGGAATTACAGGTGCCTGCCACCTCGCCTGGCTAATTTTTGCATTTTTAGTAAAGATAGGGTGTCACCATCTTGGCCAGGCTGGTCTTGAACTCCTGACCTCATGATCCACCCGTCTCGGCCTCTCAGAATGCTGGGATTACAGGCATGAGCCACTGTGCCTGGCCTATGGCATTATTTTCTGACGCCCATCTAGGTTGGGAAAATGTCCAGGCTTTTGAAGCCTCTGGTGGGTACTGTTTTATGCCCTCACAGTACCAGTTGTTCTCAGTAGTTCACACGAATTCCCCCTTATTCACACAAGGGCCATTGTTGGAATCAGGCTTTCCAAGCTGGAGGGGCCCTTAGGGAGTACAGTCTGAAGCCCCACAATAGCCCCAGCAGGGGTGAGGACATTGTGAAACCAGCCACTAGCCACATCGGGCTATGGAGCACTTGCAGTGTGGTGAGGCCCAGGAACTGAATATTTTTATTCAGCATTAATTCACTTAAATAGCCATACCTGGCTAGCGGCTACTGGCACAGAGCAATCTGCGGGCCACAGGAAGGGTGTGGGATTCACCCCTCTCTGCCATGCTGGCATGGAGGTCGGCCCGTGGCCAGCTGTTCAAGTGCTCCACTGCCCTCCGCACATTAGAGGAGACTGCTGTGTTTGCTCTGTCAGGCCCCACTGCTTCCTGTCAACAGATGACAAAGCTGATCAAACATGCAGCTCATCTCCCCTGTCCCCAGCTTCCCTTAATGACTTTTGGGCACACTATAGCAAGTTTAATGTCCCTCCATGCTCATTCATGGGGGCTTCTGCTTACAGTGGAATTGAAAACATCATCCAATTTTTAAAAATTCACTGGCTGCCAGGAGCTGCTGGGCCTCACTCCCCTTTCCTGGGGGTCTGTGAGCTTTGGACTCCAGGGATGAGGGTTGGGTAGGGAGGGGATGTGCTTCCTCCCTGAATCTGGGCTCCCTCTGAGCTGCTACTGTTACCCCTCAGGTATGCAGAGATGCCCAAGGCAGAGAAGAACGCCATCTCGCATCGCTTCCGGGCCCTGCTGGAACTGCAGGAGTACTTCGGCAGCGTGACTTCTGTGGCTGGAGGCGGTGCCTCGGGCCGAGGATCTGGGGAGGGCTAGCCTGAAACCTCCTGGGTCCTTCAGGATTTCCACTTCCTGGGGGTGTCGAGTAGCCTCACCAGCCTGTCTGGTGGAGCAGCTGGCTCTGCTCTGAGAAACTCTGGGCAATTGGATGCCATTCTCTTGCCCTTAGGGAAGGTGCTGTCTCTTGCAGCCTCCAGGCCTGGGACCCTGAGAGGACCTTGGTTGGTAAAGCTGGACCTGCTGGAGTGAGGCTTTGGAGAGGAACCGTGCAAATCGCCTCTGCTGTTTTTTAAATGCAGCACATCACATTTCTGGGTGAGACTTGTTTCCAGAATAAACCAGCTATATCTGTTTTGAACCTGCCACAGGCAGGTGTCTGTCTCACTCTCCTTTGGCGGTGCAGAAAGCCTTTTGGGTGGTGGTGGGGGTGGGGACACTGGCGGGGCATATGGAAGGCATTCAGATGCCACTGTGAGCTGGAATGTACATCTCCACTCGCGTTCTTGCCTCACTCTGTGGCACAGATTGTGGGCTTTCTCCATGCTGGATCTATGCTGTCCCCCACCCACAGGTAGTGCCAGGGACTCCGTGAAGCCTTGCTGGATTGAGGACTGGGTGTTGTGACATGCCCAGTGCTTTTGTCTTATGCTGTTACATATCAGACCCGCTAAAATGTTGGTTTAGGCCGGGGCGCGGTGGGTCATGCCTGTAATCCTAGCACTTTGGGAGGCAGAGGTGGATGGATCACTTGTGGTCAGGAGTTTGAGACCAGCCTGACCAACATGGTGATGGTGAAACCTAGCTCTACTAAAAATACAAAAATTAGCTGGGTGTAGTGGCAGGTGCCTGTAGTCCCAGCTATTTGGTAGGCTAAGGCATGAGAACTGCTTGAACCTGGGAGGCAGAGGTTGCAGTGAGCCAAGATCTCGCCACTGCACTCTAGCCTGGGTGAGACTGTCTCAAAAAAAAACAAAACATTAAAACGTGCTAAATGAAGTAAATATTTCCCTGACTTTTGTGAACCTCTAACAAATTAATTGAACCCAAGAGAGGAGTTGTTGGATCCCCAACTTGAAGACAGTCTGTCAGAAGTTCTGCAGGCCCAGACCTTGGACTGGTAGGAAGGAAGGGGTGGTCTTGTGGGACTGAGCCCTCGACCTGGGGTTTCTGAAGCCATCTCCAGGCAGGAAGTGGCTGGGTTGAATTGAATTGAATGGGAGGGCACCCAGCCATGTCCCGTGAGAAATCCCTCACTTGGTCACAGAAGTCTTCTGTGTTGACTGTTACGTGCAGTGAGAGCATAGGAAAATGGTTTGAGTTCGTTTTTCCACACTCACTACCTGTCCCCAAAGACAGCAGGGTGAAGGGCGTGCTCGTACCCACCCGTATTGGTTCTCAGAGCCCTGGGGGCTCCTGGTCTCCCACTCAACACTAGACTACCCAGTGTGAGGTGGCATCTCATGGGCATGCATCTGTCTGATTACGAAGGGGTCTGAGTACCTCTCGACATTCCCCGTTCCGGTTGGGCCTCCTCCCTCCCCTGTTCACAGCCTGTCTCTTATGCTGGGGCTACTGTCCTTTGTTTGCAGGAATTCTTTGCATATTTCAGATATTAGTCCCTTTTCAGTTTCGATGCAGCCAATCGCTTCTGTCTGCTTAGTCCATGGGGCATTTGTCTAGCCAGTCCAGGAGGTGCCATCAGCTCCAGGTGTCCCTTTTGCCCACAGTTGCTGCACACGGGGCACTCCCCTGAGCCTCAGAGCCATATTCCTGTTGCTGGTTGCTGGCTGCCGCTGTAAGCCCCTGACCAACCAACAAATGACCAAGCCAGAAACACGGCACCTTCCCCTGTCCATCAAATCCTCCCCACCCCATATCCTACCATCGGTAGTCCTCCCACTACCCTCCATCCCACCAGTGCTGCCCCTGTCCTGTAAACCCAGGATATGCGGGATAGACAGGATGGTTCACAAGTGGGAGCCTTGGCCTCCCACAGGCAGCTTCCATCTGAGAGTCACAGGGCCCTTGGCTGTCACCCTGATGACCCTTCCCTTACCCACTGCTCTCCACCAACCATAGCGCCTTGGCAGCCCCAAGCCCTTATTCCTCTGGACCCTTGCACATGCTGTTCCCAGAACGCTTTCCTTGCAGGTCCCTGGAAAAACGGCCATGCAAAGGCCTCACAGAACTTCCATGTTTCACTGTTGGGCCAGCACCCAACAGTGCGAGGTTGGAGGTGACAGCCCACAGGTGGCATTCCACAGACTCTGTCCCTTTCATTCCACTTCTCCAGGGAGGGCTTCTCCTCCCCACAGTTGGGGTGGGGATGGGGTGGTGGCAGCAGGGACAGAGGTGACACAGCAAGCCTAGAAACAGGAGCTTTATTCTCTAGTGTGCCTACAGCAAGTTCCTTACACAATCAAGGAAATGGTTTCTCTTTCAGGCATCGACTCTTTTATCAAAAGAAAATCCATCCTGCTCAGTCCCACCCACCCTGGGCAGAAGCTGCCCTGAGCAACGCTCCTGACCCAAAGCTAAAGGATAATGGGAGGGGGCAGGCACACACCACTGCACCCCTACAATGCCCAGATGCCCCAGGCCTGAGTCAGCCATGAGAGACCGGAGCACAGAGCAGCCACCCACACACCCACAACTCCCCTCACAGTCCCAGAGCCAGCCTGGGAGCATGTTGGGGACTGGCGAATGGGGTGTGGCCAGGGCCTGTCAGTCAAGGCCTGTGCTCAGCATCCATGACATCCAAGTACTTGGCTTCAATGATTCGGGGCAGCAGGAGATAACTGCGGGGAGGAAGGCACAGGAGGAGAAGCCTGGGTCAGAGAGAAGGCAGTGGGCACCCACCCAACCTCCCTCTCCCGCCTATCCCCAGTCCACTCACTCTCCACCCCTAGGCTGGGCTCTTGCCCACCAGCCCACCGTCCACCCCTAGGCTGGTTCCCTTCTGGCTGCCCCCACCCCAATTCACCCATTCTCCACCCCTAGGCTGGTCCCCTCCTCCTGGCCACCCACCCCGGCCCGCCCATTCTTCACTCCTAGGTGGGACCCCCTCCTCCTGCCCACTGCCCCCGCCTGCCCAGTCTCCGCCCCTAGACTGGACCCCTCCTGCCCACTGCCAGCCACTGGTACCGGATGGGGATCATGGTGATCATGATGAGAGGAAAGATCATCTTCATGTAGGGCAGGGAGCTCATGCCGAAGGCACACAGCAGCAGCAGCTGCAGCACCTGCAAGCCCGTGAAGTAGTGGATCTTCCTCTGGGGCACCCTCCGGATGTAGTGTGTTGGGGGGTACGCGGTCTGTGGGCGGCAGGGACTGGGTGTGAGTGGGCATGGGGTTGTGTCCCCACCCATGCCACTCCCTCGCAGGGCCAAGCACTCACCTGCTCCTTGAGCAGCAGGGCCACACGCTGGACTAGCTGGTTGCCATCAAGGGAGGTGAGTGCGATGTAGAGAAAGAGGCCGTAGAGCACAGGCTTGGGGATCCACTGCAGTGGGACAGGCAGCAGCAGCAGGGACAGTCCCACCAGGATGCTGGCGCCCAGCGAGGTCAGCCGCGTCTCCTTCACGTTCACAATCCTGTGGCGCCCCAAGGCTGAGCATCACCTCTGCACCCCCATCCATGGGCCTCATCCCATGTGGCCTGAGGCTCCCCGCTCCTCAGGGTCCCACAGTTCTTGCCCACCTCACACTCACGTCTCATAGATGTGCCCATTCTCCACGCGCTCCTCCACTAAGGCCAGGGCCCGCACGTGCAGCGGAGAGTGGGGGTAGGCGGCATGGATCCAGGGCAGCCCAAACAGAGACAGCCCCGTGTTGATGATGGCGAGGAGCAGGAGGTCCCAGTGGTAGGCAGTGCCCTTCACCAGCCTGCAGCAGACGGGTCTGGTGGACAGAGCCCCACTCCCTGGGGCTCAGGCCATGCCCACCTCCGTCCTCACCCACCCTCCACACCTGTTCTCCGGTGCATTCACCAAGGCGGCCACCAAGTTCTGCTCGATAAAGAAAAGCATGGACAGCAGGAAGCCAAGGCCCATGGCGCTGCTGATGGCCCTCAGGGACAGCGACTGGATCTGCGCCATCGCAAACAGGCTCTCGCTGGGATTGTAGCGGAACTTGCTCACTGCAGCAGGGGAAAGGCTACAGCTATACCTGCAGCACCTGGGAGCCACCCCACGCCACCTGCCGCCCAGCCCCAACTTACTCTCGATTTCCCGGAAGCCGTGGGAGCTGATGAGGGAGAAGACGAGCACTGCGATGGGCAGGGCGCAGTCGGACAGGATCTCGCGTACGCAGGGGTGCAGGTAGGGGCTGGGGACAGCGGGTGCGTGAGCACAACCTTCGGCCCGGGGGGCCCCTGCCCTCCCTGCACAGCCCCTCACCTCTTCTTGAACTGGTACAAGGTGTAGCCCAGCCAGAGCGTGCCCAGCATGATGAGGAGGCTGAGCACGGCGGTCGCCTGGCCTGAGTGCGTGGCCGAGGACAGCTCTGTGGGGCTGGCCAGAAAGCTGGCGTTGAGGGCAGTGTGGAAGCTGGCGTTGAGGCTGGTGCCAAGGCCTGACAGGCTGATCAGGGATGGAGTCCTTTTTGAGTGGTAGTTGTCCAAGTGATGCCCATAGTAGTACTTCCAGAAGACTGTGGACACAGACCCACAGGCCTCAGCCCTCTCCAGCGTGTGGCAGGGAGGGGCCCTAAGGGAAGGGGCCCTAAAGGGAGAAGGCTCCAGGGGTAGGGTGGGGGGAAGGTGGGGAGGACCCTGTCTGTGCACCTGCACTCCTGCTCACTGTCCCTGTCCCATCTGTGACACCTCATCACAGTCTGCCCAGTGCCTCTGCCCCCACTGCTGATCCCATCTGGGGCGGCCCTGTCACCCTCCATCATGGGGGGCTCTTCCCTCTGCCAGTCCATGGCTTCCAGAGCACCGCACACTTGACCACGGGCACACGCTCAGCTTGAGCTGGTCCCATCTGCCCCTAGCCAGGCCGCAGTGCAGAGCCTCCCATCTTGGCTGAGTGCCCCGTGCAGCAGGTGGTCCCTGGCCAGACTCACTTTTGACCATGCCCTTGACAGCATCCAGCACGAACGTGATGGAAATGAAGAGGGCAATGATCTCCTCTGTCGACCTGCCAGGAGGTGATGAGCCTCATCAGAGCGAATGTCACCGGGGGTGGGTGGGGCAGGCCTCCCTGAGCCCCTGCAGGGTCCCCTGCCTCCTCCTGCCAGGAAGAAAACCAGGGCCACAGTCCCTGCCCGAGTCCATCCCAGCCCCTTGGGGTAGCGATATGGTGGGGGCACCCCCTTGCCCTGTGGTTACAGGGCCTGATGCTGGCATGAGGCTGAGCCAGATGCCATGCCTTGAGGGTCCCAGCAGCTCACAGAATGGCCAGTCACCTCTTGAAGAGACTCATGACCAGGCTGAGGTTGAGAAAGGCATAAAGTGTGAGGAAGAAACTGTTCCACAGGCCCGTCCATGCGTAGAAGGAGTTGAAGTCCAGGTTGTAGTCATCACAGATGACACGAATCACTGCAGGCAGGGGGCAGGGGGGGTCAGAGCCCAGCAGGGATTAGGGGTCTCAGGTATCATCTCCCTCCTCAGCCCCCACTGCACCCTGGATGTAGAGCGCCAGGGGCGCGGTGGTCAGCAGAATCACCAGCGGCTGCCCGGAGAAGAGCGCGTAGAGCAGGCCTCCGATGCTCTGCCCGGCTATGGTCTTCTGCACGTCTGTGGGGGTGGGGAGGTCAGGCGGGTGCCGCAGCGCAGGGCCCTGCCCAGCACAGCCCCACCCACCACCAACCCCTCACCGATGGCCCCTTTTGTGTTCTCGTCATTGAGGGACCCAAAAGCGATGGTGGGCAGGAGGCAGGCAAAGTAGAGGAACAGGGTGGTGGTGATGTATTTGCCCACAGCCTTGTTTTTCCCGATAATGCCTAGGAATGGGGGATGGGGCAGAGTTTGTTGAGGATGCAGGATGGGCACACATGTGGCCCAGTGTTGAAAGCAGTGGTCCAGATGTGCCCCGAGGCCACATACCGTCAGTGAAGTCTAGGGGGTATAAGGGGAACCTGCGTGCAATGTCCTCCCGGATGCCCTTCCCGAAAGGGACAAAGTCCTTGCACTTCGGGGGCTGTTGGAGAGAACGGAGGGCCTGTTAGCCCTGTCTGGCCCCTGCCCCCACCAACCCTGCTGGCCCTTGCCGGGCTCTACCCTTGTACCTCATGGTGTCTGTGGGCAGGGAGGGAGACTGTGTTGTGTTCCTTCATTCTCAGCGCCACTGGGCCGTGGCTCACCATGGTGAGCAGCTGTCTCTGTTGCACCAAGGCCTCCTTGAATTCCTCCTCTGTGTGGGTCTGTAGGAGCTTCTGGCGGAAGGCAATATCCGAGAACATGGTGGCAAATGTGCGCGCCACCTCCATCGCGGTCTTAGTGCTTTTCTAGGGGTGGAAGATGGGAGTCACATCCACCGCCCCTGTAGAACAGAGGAGGCTCTGCACAGGCCGAGCAGGTGGAGGTGCTCTCCCCATGAACTAGCAGCAGGTTTTTTGTTTTTTTTGAGACGGGTCTCACTGTCACCCAGGCTACCCACTCACAGCTTATCATAGCCTTGACCTCCCAGGCTCAAGCGATCCTCCCACATCAGTCTCCCCAGGAGCAGGGACCACAGGCATGCACCACCATGCCAAGGAATTTTTAATTTTTTGTAGAGATGAGGTCTCACTATGTTGCCCAGGCTGGTCTTGAACTCCTGGCCTCAAGCAATCCATCTGCCTAGGCCTCCCAACGTGCTGGGATTACAGCTGTGAGCCACTGTGCCCGGCTCCTGGTAGCAGGTTTTATTCCACAAAGTTCAGGCATTAGTGTACTTTGCCATGATTTCAACCAGGCCAGTAGGATCACCAGAACTACCATCGAGCTATAGTTTTCTTATAAACTCAGGATTTTTTTAAACTTAAGAATTACTCTTGTCCTAAGCAACAAAAGTCTGTGTAATCACAGATAATGAAACCACAATGGAGAAAAATGTTTACCCAGCTACATTTTCCCAGTGGTGTTTGCACTGTCTGCTGGTTTGACTTTCAGAGCAGCTCAAGCCCATCAGGTCCTCTCTCTCTTGCTTGGCCAAGGTCAAGCCTATCCATGAACCATGAGCCCAGTGTCCAGCCCTCATTGCAGCAACCTGCTCATCTAGCAGCAGCGTCTGTCCCTCTGTGGCTCAAAGCTGTAGTCCCAGGACACTGTGCATGTTTGCTTTAGAAGAGGCCCATGCTTCACCGTGGCTCATGCCTGCAATCTTAGCACTTTGAGAGGCTGAGGCAGGCAGATCACTTGAGGTCAGGAGTTCAAGACCAGCCTGGCCAATATGGTGAAATCCTGTCTCTACTAAAAATACAAATAATTAGCTGGGCTGGAGTTTTTGGGTGGTGCTCACCTGTAGTCCCAGTTATTAGGGAGGCAGAGGTTGCAGTGAGCTGAGATCACACCACTGCACTCCAGCCTAGGCGGCAGAGCGAGACAGTCTCAAAAAATTAAAAACAAAAACAAAACCTCAAAAGAACAGACCCATACTCCTGAGAGGAGCCCGGTGTCAGGGCCAGGGCTTCGGCCTCAAGGCGCCAGGCTTTAACTCAGCTCTGGCTATTGCTCCTTCTGTCTGGGCACCCTGTTGGGGGTCACTCCCTCCAACCCAGGGACTGCCCTTCCTCTGTCACCAGCATAGTAGCATTTGGGAAGGTTCCCAGCATGTCTGAGATCCCTGGGAGGGCTATCCCCCGAGCACCCCCTTTGCCTACAGAAGGCCAGGGGCAGAGGCATGAGAAGCCAAGGGAAGCTGAAGCTGAAGGCTCTGCCAAGGCCTTGGGAGGGGTCCTGGCAAACATCTGTTGAGATTTGTTAAATCTTTTTCCTTAAAAGACCCCCAAAATCATATCAATTCCAGCCCCCACAAAAAGCATGGTGTCCCAGCCAGTGGGTGTGTGGCCTAGGAGGGAGCAGGGACTCTTAGCCAGCAAATCACAAAGTCAGCCAAGTTGAAGAAGGGCTGGGGGGGCAGGCAGGCCAAAGGAAGGCCTCATGTTTGAATAAGGATAGTGATCAAAAGCATTTCCTTTCAGTCAAGAAGGAAATACAACCTCTGGGCACCCCCTGGGGAAATGAGGACTTGCCGGGTCGAGCAAGATGTTTCTGATATACCCGTAGGGCCGAGGTGGAGGGAGGGGTAAGGATCAGGCCTTCAGAGGCCAAGACAGGTGGGAGGAGCCCCCAGGAGAGGTGGGTAACCTGGGACCCTTCTTCCTCCCCAGGACACAGACCCTAAGATCCCCACTCACCATCTTGGGTGGGGCCAGCACCAAGATGACGAACCGAACCTCACAGGAATTCTCCCCCCAGTTCTGTGGGCGAACCAGGCGGCTGATGCACACGTGCCGCTTCTGTAGGGCCTTCATGGTGCAGCTGGCAGGGGTGGGGAAAACACAGTGACACTTGCGCCCTGGGGGGCTGGGGCTCCCCCACCTGGAACCCCTTCAACCTTGACCCCTGGTGACCTCTGCTGGGGAGGGAAAAGAAGACCAAAGGGGATGGAGTGCTCCAACCCTCTTCTACCAGGTTGGATGGGCGGCCAAAGCCCTGGCACTCACAGGTGGGCCGGCTTCTGTAGGGAACAGGGGACACGGGATGCCCAGTTCCGCTGTAACAAGAAGGGGGGGGGGCCAAGTGGCCTGGCAACTCACATGATGCAGAGCCATGACTGCTGGTACTGCACCCCTGTGACTGTGGCGGTGACCCCTTGAATGGTATCTGACAGCAGGTGGACTGAGGATAGAGCGACAGGGAGGGTGGGTCAGTGGCCCCTTCCGACGCCCCCACCGGGGCTTGGGAGATCAGCCTCACCTTTACCCTGCATGGGCGCCCCGGCGTCGGTGAAGAGCATGGCCATGAGCAGGTCCAGGTTGCAGTTGGGCTCCGCGTCGTCAGGGTCCTGGGCAAAGCGGCGAAGCATAGCCCGCAGCACATTATCCAGGGAGGTGGCCGGCTCGTCCAGGATGATGCTGGCCTGTGCCAGGAAGCCATCTAGGTCGCGGTGGGCACGGATCTCTTCCTTGAAGTTCTTTAACTTCAGGTACTGAGGGGACCCCAGGGACAAAACCACACGGGCCCATGAATGAGATGCTGTCACCATCTGGCCCCTCCCACCCAGCGGGCTGCAGCAGCCTAGTCCCCAGCCCTGGGCTGGACTGAGCTCCCTGTTGAGCTGCTCCTGGAGGCATGGGAAGAGGGGAGCAGCAGGAGGACTCTCAGGGAAGCCACTGCCTCAGCCCCCAAGTAGAGACCCCAGGACCACCTGCAGGATGGGCCGCTCACCTTGCGGGAGGTGTGCAGGAGCACGCAGCCACCAGAAGTCGCTTCATTCTCTGCTGGAGAAATACAGGGAGGGCTGAGGGTGCTACTTGCTCCTTAGGTCTTAGTAAGGCGGGTCCCACCTTCCCAGGCCGGTGTCCTCCCCAGCCTGCCCCTGCTGCAGCCCCCATACCAGCGTTGGCGGCCTGCATCTCCAGGTCGACGTTGACAAAAAAACGGATGCTCTCGCCAGACGCAATGGAGGAGTTGACGGTGTCAAAGCCCTCATCCCCCAGGATGTCCTCTCGGGCATCACAGCTGTCATCTGTGTCACACTTGTAGTAGCCTAGAGACCCAGTGACCCCAAGAAGAGACCCCCAAGAGCAAGAGGGCCTGGCTATTAGTGCCACACACAGCAAGGAGGGGCTCCAAGCCCAAGGAACAGGGACCCCTGGGCTGTCCCACTCTCGGGCCGTGGTAAGAGAGGCCATCTCACAGGCCAGGAAGGCAGCTTCTAGTCCCACACAGTGACTCTCCGGCATTCCCCAGCTGCTGGGACCAGGACCCTGCACAGCTCTGACCCTTCAGTGTGAGAAAAACATGTCCACTCCAGACACGTCAGGGCCAGCATAGAGTACAAGAATGAAGAGAGGGCTGGGCGCAGTGGCTCATGCCTATAATCCCAGTACTTTGGGAGGCCGAGGCGGGCGGATCACAAGATCAAGAGATCGAGACCATCCTGGCCAACATAGTGAAACCCCGTCTCTACTAAAAATACAATTAGCTGGGCATGGTGGCACGTGCCTGTAGTCCCAGCTACTTGGGAAGCTGAGGCAGCAGAATTGCTTGAACCTGGGAGGCAGAGGTTGCAGTGAGCCAAGATTGCGCCACTGCACTCCAGCCTGGCGCCTGGTGACAGAGTAAGACTGTCTCAAAAAAAAAAAAAGAATGCAGATGAGACTTCCCAGCCTGCCCCCCACCCTCCCCAAGTAGGGGACACAGGGAAGACAGAGAAGCTGCGGTATCCATGTGACACACACACACACACACACACACACATACACACATGCTGCCTGTGGGCACAGGGTCTTAGAGCTCCTCCTCAGGAGGGCAGGTGGGGAGAAGCATCAAGGCTGAGACCCAGTGCAGGTATCAGACAGCCTAGGAAGCAGGAAAGCCAGGGAAACAGCCAGGGGCTGCCAGGGGAGAGGACCCCAAGGCCTAATGTCAGCCCTGCCTCTGTTGTGCCCCTCCCTCATGGAGAATGAGGGTATGTCCTGGCACCTGGGGAATGTGGGACCCCAGAGCTGAGAGCCTGCTCCTCTTTCTCTTGGTCAGCCTCTCAACTCCTGCAGCTGGTTCACAGCACAACCCTCTTCCTACAGGAAGATTTCCTGGTTACATGCAAAATTCTTCTGCCTAAGCCCCGCCGCGATGGCTCCCTGCAGCCTACAGATCACAGCCTGAGCCAGCCCTGCTTCCCCTGCCCTGACCACTAGCTCCTCAGGCCAGTTGGTCAGCACCCCAGGCATGCCAGGTCCTGTCCTCCAAGCTAAAGATTTTCCTCCCTGGAGGGCCTTTTTTGGAACCTCCTCCAGGAAGTTCTCCTAGGTCCCTGCCTCACCCCTGGCCACTGGCAGCTCTTCCTGTCTTGTGGGTCCCCTAAGGTTCCCTACTGCGGGTACTCCCAGGAAGGGGCCGCTGTAGCCCAGACCCTACCGATGCCTGATAGACACCTGTGCAGAAACAGGGACAGGTCAGCAGCACGCCTACACCTGCCAGGGAGTGACTCACCCTGACTCATTTCCACTCCCGCCACCAGTTTCCCTGGTACATCCCAGGCCCTGTTCCCTCAGTGTCCTGAGTTTAACCTGGGCCCCTTCTAGGCAGGAGGCCCTAATGCCTCCTGAGTCAAAGCCTCCAGGGACTGGTGACCCCCAGGCCCAGGTGTACACTACCTCCAGAGCCCAGAGAAGAACCATTCGGTCAAAAGACATCCTCGCTGCTTTGGTTCAGCTCCCTGTGTCAGACTTGCCTTGTTGAAACTGTCTGGTTCCTCTGGCCCCAACTTGTCCCAGCCTCCCCTCTGCCCCTCAACCAGCACCCAATAGTCCCTGGCACTGCCCTTCACACAGCCCCATTCTTCCCCCATTCTTCCCAATGCCCTGAGCTCTACCTTAGCCTTAGTGCTCAGGTCCCCTAAGTCAAGGACTTGCCCAGCTGACACTACCAGGTCCCCAGAGGGCTCCTGTAATGCCAAGTCTTCATCCCAGCCCCATACCTATCCTGCCCACCAGCAGCCTCACACAGAGCCCCCACGTCCTGGGGGCCCTGGGTAAGGGCGTATCAGTCCTGGGTTTACGCACTGCCCCAAAACCAACCCTCGGATGGCCAGGCCACTCATGGGGCTGGGCACAGGACACAGCCTGAAGCCAGCCCGGAGACATGGGGAAGAAGACAGCTGGACTGGTACAAGGAGGAACAACAGAAAGATGCCTGACATATTGCAGCACAGAGGCCTTATATTTCTTTAAAGAGACGACAGCCGCCCCCCGCAGAGCTGAGTAATGACAGAGAGATGGGGCATACAGAATTCTTGCCCCTAGGCTAGTCAGATAACAGGCCACTGTCACAGAAAACCTTGGGGAAGAAACCCAGAGGATCCACTTCGTCCGTGTAGCCCAGGAGAAGGGACAACCTGCCCTCCCAGGTCCACCAGGGACCCACCCATGTCTAGCCTCCTGGAGAGTGGGAGCCAAAAGCATTCCAGCACTAGAGTGGTCCAACAGGCCGCCAAAGCCACAGGACTCTGGTGGGTGAGCTACACACCCCGGAGGCTTTTGCCAGACAAGCTCTCTGCCCACGCACACTCCCTGAGAGGTACTCACTTGAATCCTCGAAGTATCCATTCCGCGACATGGTGGGAGAGTTTTCTGCAAGGGAAGCCGAAAGGTCACCAGCCCCATGGACCAGCCCTGGACCTCCTTCCTGTGTGCACTTGTCTTCCCCGCCCCACCCCCGCCACCCCCACACCTGGCCGATTCCTTCACTCTTCCCAGGGATGCAACCGGGCCACCCTGGGGAGAAAGGGAAGCAGTGGAGGGGGCCCCATGAGGAGCAGGGAAAGCCAGCTTTAATCTCAGAAATTCAATTCCTTAGCCCATCTGCTAGGGGCTGCCCAGGCGGGCCAGAGGCGAGGAGGGGAGACGTTCTCGGGATGTCTTCCCACAGAGTTAGTGCCAGTACCATGTTCGCTAATCCAGGCTTTCCTGACAGAACCCTGCCTGGCTGCAGCGAGAGGAAGGCACTGGGCCGGGGCGGGCCTCAGGCGACCTCTCCGCACATCACTCCTCTCCCTCTCAGACGGGTACCAGGGGCCATGAACGCCCATTGCAGGCGCAGTTCCCCCGACCCCCGACACGCGCGCGCCCGAGGTCACATGCGGGCAACGGTCTCCTGCCCTGGGACCGCATCCCGGCGCCTGGAAGGCAGAGCCGTTTGTCCAAAAGGGAGAACAATCGGGGGTGGGAGGAGTGTCTGAGGGACACATGGGTCAGGGGAGGCTGTGCCCTCCCCGGGCCGGGCCCCGGATGGTCCCGGCTGTTTGTGGCTCGCTGTCAGAGGAAGGAAGCGACAGGAGGGGCCGCGTGCACAAGAGGAAAGCGCCTCCAGATTCGGAGACCCCGGGGGTCGGGGCGCAGGATGTGGATGTCGGCTCGAGGCGGGAGCCGGGGACATATCCAAAAGTGGGGGGTGGGGGCGCTGGGGCACGTCCCAGGCCGTGGGAGGGACAGCGGCCGAGGGCGACGAGGGTCTGGGAGGAGTGGGCCGGGGCACACCCCGCTTCAGTCCCCGCGGCCCACGTGCAGGTAAAGGGTCGTACAAACCCGGGTCCTGGCAGGGACCCGGGACTGGCCCTCGGGTGTCAGAGCGAGGGAGAAACCGCTGTGGCCGCGCAGGGCACGGTTAGGGCGCCCGGGACCCCTAAGAGCGGAAGACCCCACCGCGGCGCCGGGCGGGAAGGTGCCCGGGCAGAAGGTAAGAAGAGCCCTTCCGAGGCGGCGGCGGGCCAGGCTCCCAAAAGCTTGGCGCTCGGGGTGCTGGGAGCCCCACAGCTCCGCCCTGCTCACTTTGGAGCTCCCAGCCCTCGAGCCGCTCCATCATCTGTTCAGACCTGGTAAGAAATTGAAGACGGCGAAAGCAGAGCCCTAATGAAACCAAGCGCGCAGGGGCCGCGAAGCCGCGCCTGGGCCTCCCGCACCCTCGCTCTCTTCCCCGTGGCTGGGATCCCCGCAGCCGTCTCGCCCACTCGCCCAGGCCCGCGCAGGCCAACGGCATCCGCGCTCTCCTGGTGCCCCCGACGGCTCCGCGTCCCCGCCCAGCCAGCCTCAGTGCCGGAGACCCGGGCGGCCTGCCCCGCGCCCCCGGTTTCAGGCACCCACCGCACGGCTGGAGATGGAACACACGCCTGGTGGCCGCGGCCATGGCACACTCGCGCCCTCACGCCGGGGCTCCTCACGCCGCGCTCCGGCGCTTCGGGACCCCAAACTCTGCGACTCGGGCGGGCCAACGGCGGGAGCCGGTGACACACCCCCGCGCCGCGCCTGGGTCCTAATGCCGCTCAGACGCCCCGCCCGGGGGCGGGAGCCAGAGCTGCCAAGAGCTGGGACCCGGCCGCCCGCCCCGCGCCCCCACCCGCGGGAGACTGCTCCAGCAGGACTGGGCTGCTCCCCGCCGCCGCCGCTGCTTGGCCCGACTGAGTAGACCCGGCTCCTTCGAGCCTGTGCGCAGCAGACCCGGCGGACCCAGCGTCGCGGGGTTAGGGACTGGGCGGGGCCGGGGAGCTTCTGGGAAGACGCTCGACGGGCCCACGGGCCCGCGGAGCCGTGCGACTGAGGCGGACCCCCGGGAGGGCTTCCCCCGCGTCCGCTTTAAGTACGCGGCCGGCCCCTGTCTCCTCCTTTCGGCTGGGGACCTCCGCAGGGCCACGCCCGCTGGCTGCCCCGCCTCCTGCATTTATCCCCGTGGCTCTGGCCGCAGGTCCTCCTCCTCCTCCTCCTCCTCCAGGAAGCGCGCCCCGACCGACTCGACGGGCCGGCGAGCAATCCCCGAGCTACGCCCTGACCCGCTGAGCCGGCGCTCTCCGAGCTCGGCTGCTTTGGGTTTGCTCGCTGCGAGCCTCGCAACTTCTCTACCGGCCTCCTCGCGATCTCGGTCTTCTCTTACGTCAAGGTCATGGTTCGCAGACTCTTCCCTTCCCAAAATGGCCCCAGCGCCCTGTCCCTTTTCCTGGACCTGCCGGGGACTCGCCTTCTCGGGCGCTTAGTCTCCTGCGAGTGTGGGTGCGCGCGCTGCGATGGGGTCTTGCAAATGCAGCCGGTGCGACGAACCCCTGGCCTGATCCACGGTGGCTTCCCAGTAAAAGGCTCCGCAGCCCTCGTAAACGGAACACAGGGCTCCGTAAAGCGCTAACCAACCTCCCGACCCCTCCAGCCGTCAGCGCTTTCCGGCAGCCGCGCTGGGACAGAGTCCTCGGCCACTGTCCCCAGCCATCGAAGAGGGACGGGGGGCGGGGGCAGGCCGGAGCAAACCCATTTCTGCTAAGGAAGGGCTCCTGGCGCTTTGGGGAAGCCTCAGGCATAGATTGGGTGAGGCAGGCCGGCCCATTCCCCTCCCGGCAAGGTAAGAGCGGTTAGGAGCCGAGCCCTGGAATGCTCCTCTTGGCGACTGATGGCCTGGGGCTGTGCGACGGCCCGAGCACACCACGTTCCTCCGGAGCTACTCCAGGAGGTCTTGTGGAAGATCCCTACCCCAAGACTTGGGGCTGACCATATGCTATTTACTCAGGGGTGACTCTGGAGAGACACAAGGTCATACTGCACACCCCTTGGGACCTTCTCTAGACGCCCTCTAGCTAGAGCTCCAGTCCAGGCACTGACTCCCGGGTGGCCTGTGGAGGCTGAGGGGGAGCTGAAGGACACAGGCAGATGTCGTCCCTGGAGCATGGCTGCATGGGTGGCATGCAGGCTGGACCCCTGAAAAGCCACCTTGCCACCCCCAGCCTCTGCTATCCGGGAATGCCTTGGTTTCTGCATCTGCCTCCCACCAGCTCCCAAACACCTTCCAACCCACTTGTTCCAGCAAAGCCCCTGGAATGGAAGGCGCTTCCCCTTACCACAGCCTCCTGTGCCCTCCTCAAAGGATCTCTGCCCACTGAGGAAGGAGGAGCCCACTGCCAAGCCTCCCCCAGACTCCCCCAGTTGGCTATGGTCCCCCTCTGTCCCCTTCCTGGCTGTCTCTCAAATGAACTGGCACTGAGCCCTTCTCTTTTTCACCTGTGCTCTACCTCTGCGGTTCTGTTCCGTGGGCCCTCCTGAAGGGAACCCCTGAGGCCCATGCCCCTGCTGCCTCCAGACTGACCCTGTTTCAGAGGCTGTTTCCTTCAGCCCTCCCACCTGCCCCTGTCCTGTGTGGATCAGACACTGAGGCCAAATACAGGCGCCCCAGATCTCCTGGGCTGTGCCCCACTGGGTCCTTACACAGGAAGGTAGGTTGAGGGACTCAGATGCAGGCACATACTCTCCACTCATTCCCTCCCTTGGGGTCTCAGACTCCACTGGGCTGTGGATAGGAAACTGTGATCCCTGGGTTCCACAAGGTGCACTTAACAGTTTTCTACTGTCCTGCCCTGATGCCACTTACCTTGCCTGTGGATTGTAAAATCTGGGGTGAGAAGTAAATGTATGAGATCTCATTTTTAGGCCAGGCGCGGTGGCTCATGCCTATAATCCCAGCACTTTGAGAGGCAGAGAGAGGTGGGAGGATTGCTCGAGCTCAGGAGTTTGAGACCAGCCTGGGCAACACAGAATTTTAGTAGAGAAATCCCATCTCTACTGAAATTACAAAAACTTAGCCAGCATGTTGGCACTCTCCTGTGGTCCCAGCCACTCAGGAGGCTGAGGTGGGAGGATTGTTTGAGACAGGGAAGTCAAGGCTGCAGTGAGTCAAGACTGCATCACTGTAGTCCAGCCATGGTGACAAAGGGAGACCCTGTCTCAAAAAAATAAATAAGTCTCATTTTGAAAACAAACAGGCCAGGCGCGGTGGTTCACGCCTGTAATCCCAGCACTTTGGGAGGCCGAGGTAGGCGAATCACAAGGTCAGGAGTTCGAGACCAGCTTGGACAACATGGTGAAACCCCGTCTCTACTAAAAATACAAAAAGTAGCTTTGCACAGTGGCAGTATCATAGCCAATGAGGTTTATCCAAGGCGCGATTATTGCTAATTGAAAACGTTTCCCAATACCCCGCTGTGACGACTTGCAGAGAACAGTCTGCACTGGCCATTTTGACAGTCTCTACGGAGACTGATAAAAAGGAAAAAAGAAAAAAAGAAAAATACAAAAAGTAGCTGGGTGTAGAGGCAGGCGCCTGTAATCCCAGCTACTTGGGAGGCCGAAGCAGGAGAATCACTTGAATCCGGGAGGCAGAGGTTTGCAGTGAGCTGAGATCGCACCACTGCACTCCAGCCCAGGCGACAAAGTGAGATTCCACCTCAGGCGACAAAGTGAGACTCCATCTCAAAACAACAACAAAAATCCAAAACATTTCCTTAGAGCCCGTTCCCCTCCGGGTGCTGCCTTATCCCTCAGCTACATTTAAGAGGAAATTTCTTCAGAGCTCCGTGCCCCTCCTGCTACGTCTCTTCAACCCACTTATACTTGTCTTTTGTCCTCACCACACCACTGAAACTGCTGCGGCACAGGTCACCCTAGCTTGGCTTTCTTGCCCTCCCTCCAGCAGTAACTAGTGCCATACAGGCCCCTTCTTTCCCTTTTATTCTATTATTATTTTTTATGGTGTCAGTGTCATTTGCCAAGGGGCTCCCTTTTTCTTTTCTCTTCTTTTCTTTTTTTCAGACAGTCTCACTCTGTCGCCCAGGCTGGAGTGCAATGGCGCAATCTTGGCTCACTGTAACCTCTGCCTTCTGGGTTCAAGCAATTCTCCTGCCTCGGCCTCTTGAGTAGCTGGGATTACAGGCGTGGGCCACCACACCCAGCTAATTTTTTGTATTTTTAGTAGAGACGGGGTTTCATCACATTGGCCAGGCTGGTCTTGAACTCCTGACCTCAAGTGATCCATCTGCCTTGGTCTCCCAAAGTGCTAGGATTACAAGCGTGAGCTACAGAGCCTGGGGGCCCCCTTTATCTTGCAACATTTATTTCTTGTCCTCCCACCTCCCTCTGACCCGGCACTCAACGTTGGCCTGCCCAGATCTTTCCCTGCATCCAGGGCTCTCCACCAGCCATGGCTGACTGTTAAATGTCACATCTCCTGTCCACACACCACAGGCTCTTTAGCCCTCCTCCCCCCATGGCTAATAGACAATTCAAATGAAATTCAGGGGAAACAGGGTTTCTGACCAGGCACCTGTACACGCCTGTAATTCTAGCACTTTGGGTCACCTGAGGTCAGGAGTTCGAGACCAGCCTGGCCAACATGGTGAAACCCTGTCTCCACTAAAAATACAAAAATTAGCCAGGCATGGTGGTGCATGCCTGTAGTCCCAGCTATTAGGGAGGCTGAGGCGGGAGGACCACTTGAACCTAGGTGGAGGCTGCAATGAGCCAAGATCACGTCACTGCACTCCAACATAGGTGACAGAGTGAGATGCTGACTTAAAAAAATAATTGGCTTCTGAGTCTACCATCCATCCAGCAGCCCCAGACCTGGGAGTCAGCCCGACTCATCCACATCTAATCCATGAGCAGATTTTCTTCAAATTAGAGCTAGAATCCGCCCACTTGCACCTCCAGCCTGGTCCATCATCTGTCTGACTGGCCCATTCTCTACTTTCAGCGGCTTCTCCAACACACAGAAAAGAAAAATGCCAAACTCCCTGCTGTGGCCTACATAGGGAGCTGCTGTACAGCCTGGCCCCTGCCTAGTCCCCCACTTCATCTCACACCTCTTGCTCCCAGGAGAGCTCTGCTCCAGCCACAATGGCTGCTGGGGCTGTTCCTCCATCCACCAGCCTGCAGCCCCTGCCTGCTTCCAGAACTTGATAGTCTGTAGGCTGGAATTCATGAGCTCTTACTCAGAATGGAAGCTCATTCCATTTTGCAGGTCTCAAAGGCCTTCCATGGCCACACCATCTAAAGCAGGTTCCTGCTGTGCTTCTGTCACAGACCTTCGTGGCCTCTAGCTCTGTAGCATGGCCTCCTTCATCCTTCTTACTGTACTGCTGGGTCCTGTCTCCCTGTGAGCTCCCAGAAAGCAGGACTGAGTTTCTCCTCAGCCAGTGCAGCACTGCATATAGTAAGGGCTCAATAAAAACAAAAAGTAGGCCAGGTGCAGTGGCTCACACTTGTAATCCCAGCACTTTGGGAGACTGAGGTCGGTGGATCACCTGAGATAAGGAGTTAAAGACCAGCCTGGCCAACATGGTGAAACCCTGTCTCTACAAAAATATCAAAATTAGCCGGCATGATGGTGGGTGTGTGTAATACCAGCTACTTGGGAGGCTGAGGCAGGAGAATCGCTTTAACCCTGGAGGCAGTTTGCAGTGAGCCGAGATGGTGCCATTGCACTCCAGCCTGGGCGACAGAATGAAACTCCATCTCAAAACAAAAACAAAAAGTAAACCACGTGCAGTGGCACATACCTATAATCCCAGCTACTAGGGAAGATGAGACAGAAGGATCCCTTGAGCGCAGGAGTATTGAGACCAGCTTAAGCAACATAGGGAGACCCACTCATCTCAAAACAAACACAAACCCAAAGGAGCATTAAAGGCAGCTCCAGCCATCTGCCTGCCTTGGCCTCCCAAACTGCGATTACAGGCGTGAGCCACGGCAGTCAGCCAAGTCCTTTTTTTTTTTTTTTTTTTTTTTTTCAGAGAGTTCCCCTTTTGTTGCCCAGGCTGGAGTGCAATGGCACAATCTCAGCTCTCTGCAACCTCCGCCTCCTGGGTTTAAGAAATTCTCCTGCCTCAGCCTCCTGAGCAGCTGAAGTTATAGGTGCCTGCCACCATGCCCAGCTAATTTTTTTGTATTTTTCTTAGAGACAGGATTTCACCTTGTTGGCCATGCTGGTCTCGAACTCCAGACCCCAGGCAGTCTGCCTGCCTTAGCCTCCCAAAGTGCTGGGATTACAGGTGTGAGCCACCAAGCCTGGCCGGCTAAGTCCTTTAATGTCTACCTCAGGTCTGCAGCATCCTGGCTGCCATAGCCTTCCTTGGACCCTTGACAGGTGTGGCTTCCCACACCTCGCAGCCAGCAGCTCTCCCTGAAGACACTGGGATTTTAGCAGCCTCTGCTGCCTTGACCATCATTCTCAGCCCGTGGCAGCCCTTTTCCAGCTGCAGCTGCTCTGCCTCCTCGCTGTTCCTGGGGAGGAAAGTTGCTGTTTCCAAACTCTCTCTCTCTGAGTGAGGACTTGTCAACTGTAATGGTTACTTACTTATGGGACCCCATGTCCAGCTCTGAACCAGGCCAAGAGGCTGGGCTCAGCTGCCAACTGAATCAACTGCCTGATACTCCCTAGTGGTCCACCTGGACCCCAGCAGCCATGCCAGTCTCCTGTTCCCCTCCAAATCTTTAAAAATTTTTTTAGACAGGGTCTTGCTCTGTCACCCAGATTGGAGTACAGTAGCACAATCACAGCTCACTGCAGCCTTGACCTCCTGGGCTCAACTCATCCTCCCACGTCAGCCTCCCAAGTAGCTGGGACTCCAAACAGTGTCATCATGCCCAACTAATTTTTTTTATTTTTAAAATTTTTGGAAGAGACGGTCTTGCTATGTTGCTCAGGCTGATCCTGAACTCCTGGTTTCAAGAGATCTCAATCTTAGGCCGGGCGCGGTGGCTCAAGCCTGTAATCCCAGCACTTTGGGAGGCCGAGGCGGGTGGATCACGAGGTCAAGAGATTGAGACCATCCTGGTCAACATGGTGAAACCCCGTCTCTACTAAAAATACAAAAAATTAGCTGGGCATGGTGGCACGTGCCTGTAATCCCAGCTACTCAGGAGGCTGAGGCAGGAGAATTGCCTGAACCAAGGAGGCGGAGGTTGTGGTGAGCCAAGATGGCGCCATTGCACTCCAGCCTGGGTAAGGAGTGAAACTCCGTCTCAAAAAACAAAACAAAAAAAAGAGATCTCGATCTTTGTTTAGACTGTCTTCCCACACACCGTAACTGTTCCTGTCTCGTCGGCTTTTGCTATTTTTTTTTTTTTTGAGACAGGGTCTCTTTCTATTGCCCAGGCTGGAGTGCAGTGGTGCAATCTCGGCTCACTGCAATCTCCGCCTCCCGAATTCAAGCGATTCTCCTGCCTCAGCCTCCTGAGTTGCTGGGATTACAGGTGCATGCCACCGCACCTGGCTAATTTTTGTATTTTTAGTAGAGATGGGGTTTCACCATGTTGTTCAGGCTGGTCTTGAATTCCTGACCTCGTGATCCATCCCCCTCGGCCTCCCAAAGTGCTGGGATTACAGGATTACAGGTGTGAGCCACTGTGCCTGGCCAGGAGCTTTTGCTTTCTATCCATGGGAGCCAGCATGCGACTGACCATATGGTAGTGCTGCAGTGGGCTGGGAGGGGAACAGCTTCCACTGGCCTCCTCTCTCTGCTGGGAGCATCTCCAGGCCCCTTGGGTGGGTGGGAGGATAGCCCTTTTGTGCTCAACAAACACGGCAGTAAGCCCTCTCTCAGTAGCCATCTACCCCTATTGAGAGAAAGATCCGGACTCCTATAACAAAAGGGCAGCCAGGAAGGTGAGGAGTCCCTGCCCTGCAGAGGGTCAACAAGGATGTGCTCCCCTCAGGATGGCGTCTGTCTGCCCTCCCCTCAGTTCATACTCACAGTCTGAAGCTAGCATGAGCAGGGGTGGGCTAGGGCTCTTGGCTCACTGATTCTAAGAGCTCATGAATTCCAGGCATACAGACCATCAAGGTCTTGTGGCAGACAGGCAGCAGACCCCTGGGCAGGCGGATTCCAGGGCTGCCCCACTGCCCTCCTGTCAGGCCTCTGTCCTCTACAGCCCAGCTTCTCACCACCAAACACTGGCTTCCTTCCCCACCCTCATCTACCACCAGGCCCTACTCCATCAAAATTCCATCACCTGGCCAGGCCAGTGGCTCATTCCTGTAATCCCAGCACTTTGGGAGGCTGAGACAGGTAGATCGCAAGGTCAGGAGATCGAGACCATCCTGACTAACATGGTGAAACCCTGTCTCTACTAAAAATACAAAAAAAAAAAAATTATCTGGGGTGACAGCGTGCCTGTAGTCCCAGTTATTTGGGGGGCTGAGGCAGGAGAATTGCTTGAAACTGGGGAGGCAGAGGTTGCAGTGAGCCTAAATTGTGCCA